CACGTCTACGGACGTTCCCGCGATGCCACCAGCAATGAGGGCGAGGGTGAACGGAGAGTCCTTCTTCGCTGCCGCATCATCCCCCATCTGGGACTCTCAGCGCACCGCGCTCTCCACAAGAAGCGCCTGGGCGCAGAACAGCCGGACCAAAACTAGCTTGAACCAGGACTGTTTGGCGGATCTATCCGGACCTCGCCTCCCCGGGTGCTCCCAGCCGTGGAGCCGTCTCCGCTTTCCGAACCCCTGGGGTGTCTCACCGAGAGCCCCCCCCCCCGCCGCGCACGCGGGTCTGACCAGACCTCGCGTCTTCGGGAGTGCCTCCACACGCATGCAGAATAGTCGCCACTTTCTGACCCCAGGGGAAATCCAACCGAATGTCCTCGAGTGCCCCCCCGCCCCCCACACGTACCATTTAAACACACGTGGATCGAACTAGACCTCGCCCCCAAACGTGGAACTGCCACCGCTTTCAGACCTTCCCTGTCTCATTATCGTTATCTTTCGCTCGCTGCCTCTCCCCCTCTCTCTGTCTCCACCTCTCTCTATCTGTGCGTGTCTCTCTTTTGTTTTTCCCTCCCTTTATCTGGCTGCTGGCTGTATGTCTCCATGTGCTTCTCTTTACGTACACACACTCGTTTTCTCTCTCTCTCTCTTTTTTTTTTTTTTTTTTTTTTTTTTTTTTTTTTTTTTTTCTCTCTCTCTCTCTCTCTCTCTCTCTATATATGCCAATATCTCTCTCCTTCCTTTCTTCATCTCCAGTTTCCCTCTTCCCGAATACCATTCATATCATTGTTACTTGTATCTCTCTCTCTCTCTGTCTTTCTCCCTCTCTCTCTTCCTAAACTCCTTTTCCCCTATTTTTATAGGCCGGGGTGGGATCCCCACCCAAAAAAGAATGCCCCCCCCTGTATCCCTGGCCCGGGGGGCCCTCTGGACGCCCCTGCGGGGCCCAGGCAACCGCCCACATCGGTCAGGAGGGCGGCCGAACGGCCCCCCGATGGCCCCAAGAGGCCCCCACCCGACGCTCGAAGACTACCCAAAGGAAACCCCTGAGAGGCCTTCGAGGCGTACAAGAACATTGAGTTCCCATCGGTCTGTGTATGATTTTTGGGATGCTCTGCTTGTCGGTCTTCTGGGCGTCCGAGACCGCCCAGGATGCCCGAAAATCGTAAACTACCCGCAAAGGCTTCCAGGCAGTCCAGGAGAGCCCCAAGACGGCTCAGTAATTAAGGCCTTAAAATGGCCCGAAGAGAACCCCATACCGCCCCAAGATGGTCCCAAGACGCCCCTCGAAGCATTCCAAATCATGACCCGGTTGTTCGTGATGACCGCGGTTGGAAGCAGGGTGGCCCGAGGAAGCCGCCAAAGGCCCCCAGAAGGCGCTTGGAGGCTTCCAGAAGGCCCCGAGAAGTCGTTAAAAACTGTCGTGAGGCCCCCAAGGAGGAGCCTCCGCAAAGAGAGCTGGGGAGGATGGGGAAGAATTCGCAGCGTAGCGCGAGAATGAGGAAGAGGAAAAACAAGTATAAGGGACAAATCATGAATAACAATATTATCACGACGATGTCGGAAAAAGGCAACACATCCGCCGACCCTGTCGGCGTGTGGAAGACGATCTTCCGTTGATCGCTGTCGTCGTCGTCGTCGTCGTCGTCGTCGTCGTCGTCGTGGTGTCGTCTCCGTCGTCTCCTCGTCGTCTCCGTCGTCGCCTCCGTCTCCGTCGTCTCCTCGTCGTCTCCGTCAATCGTCGTCTCCGTCGTCCCCCGTCTCATGGGCCCTCCTCCTTAAGCGCGCCTGTCAAAGCGAGATTGAGCAACGTCGTAGCTGAGTCGAAAGGAAGCCCCTTCCATTTGATCCCTTTCACGCCGGGCGTGGGGTGTCCAGGGGGGTGGGTCCCGGGAGGGGTGTCCCGGGGGTGGATCGCACCCAAGATACGCATCCCCCCAGGCGGTTCCGGGACCCAGAAAAGCCCCAAGACGCAGCAAGAGGACCCAAGAGGCTCCAGAGACGGTCCTCGAGGGCCCCGACTCGCCGAACTATCAGTCCAAGGCGCCAAGGTAGCCTCCAGACGGCTCAAAAAGGTTTTCAAAAGAGGCCTCGAAGAGCACTCGCAAGAGAGCCCCAAGGGGCAAACATCACATAGGTTTCTTAAGTTCATTTTGGCGTTCTCGCCTTGTCGGCTTCCCGACGCTTCAAGACAGCCCACAGGGCCCCCAAGATCGCCCAAGTGGCCTCCAAGAGGGCCCCAAAACGACCCAAGAGGGCAACAATACCGCAAGAGGCTTCCAGGACGGCCCAGGAGGCCCCCACGACAGCTCCAAGACGGAGCCCAGACGGGGGACTCGAACGGACATCTCGAGCCCTCGGCCTGAGAGGCTCCCAGGAGGCCCCCAGAGGCCCCCAAGAAGACCCCCCAGAGGCCCCAAGAGGCCCCCAAGAGACCCCAAGGAAGCCCTAAGAGGCCCCCGCGAGGCTCCCAAGAGGTCCCCAAGAGCCTCCCCAGAGGCCCCAAAACTACCCCCAAGAGGCTCCCGAGAGCGCTCGTCGTCGTCGTCGTCGCCGTCGTCGTTCAGGGTCAGCGGCGCTGGCCGTAAGGCCTCTCTAATACTTGTCGCTAGATGTTCTGTTTTACCTGCCTGCCCTTCCGCCTGCATGCCAAACATCACACACACAAAGACTAAGGTACACAGCGCGCAGCGCCAATACCACTTTTTTATACATGTATCTGTTTGTGTATATATATATACACATACATATCCGCCACTGTGCGTCTGGGCACGGAGTAAGCATGTTCTCAAGTCCTCTGCCGAATCCCTGGAGCCTCCGTCCTCAATCCTGAGGAATCGTTCAGGGGCCCAGACCCCACTTTCCAAGATCTCTCGTGGCTTCTCGCGTGCACTCTGGGCTCCCCCGCGGCTGGTCGCATGATTTTGCTCGGGTCCAAGAGGACCCAAAGACGGGCCAAGAGGGCCCAACGAGGCCCCCAAGACGGTCCAAGAGAGCCCCGAGTCGCCGAAAGATCATTCCAAGACGCTGAAGGCAACAGTCACTGATTTCCCTCAGGTGTTTGACGGATTTGGGCGTTCTCGCCTTTTCTTGTTTCCGACGCTCCAAGACGGCCCAAGAGGCCCCCAAGACCACGGCCCCAAGACCAAAGGCCCCCAATAGACCCAAAGAGGCCCCAAGAGGCCCCCAATCGGCCCCCAAGAGGCCTCGAAACTGCCTCCAAGAGGCTCCCGAGAGGCCTCCCACGAGATCCCAACGAACATGAAATAGGCTGCATACCCTCTCCCTCTCTCCCTCTCTCCGGCTGATTCTTGTCATGTCCAGCTAGCTGTGCTCGTGTCTGGCGGTCCGTGGCCGTGGGATACCGACTGGACAGCCACCACCTCATAGTACCGATCGGGAGGCGACGGCGAAGGCGGTCCCTCGAAATCCCCCCTGTAGGAGGTGGAGGAGGAGCGTGCGCAGCTCACTGCACAGAAGCGCGGATGCCCCCTCCTTCGTCGAGAAGGGCAGGCCCTTGATGATGACCTGGGGCGCTTCTGGGCGCCACTCCCCGCTGGTGACCTGCTCCCCCTGTTCCTGCGAATGCTGCTGGCCCTCCGCCCCAGGCTCCTCTACCTCCTCCGTCTGGTCCTCCCCGTCGCTGTCGTCGTCGTCATCAACACCACCACCATCATCACCCCCGCCACCCCCACCACAACCACAACCACCATCACCACCACCATCATCAATCATCATCATCAGCATCAGCATCATCAGCATCGTCGTCATCATCATCAGCACCATCATCGTCATCCATCATCACCATCACCATCATCGTCATCATCCTCGTCATACTCATCATCATCCTGATCAGCATCATCATCACCATCACCCTCACCCTCACCCTCACCCATCATCATCATCATCACCATCATTATCAGCATCATCATCACAACCATCAGCATCGTCATCATCATCGTCATCAGCATCGTCGTCATCATCATTATCATCATCAGCACCATCAGCATCATCATCATCAGCATCACCCTCACCCCCACCACCATCATAATCAGCATCTCCATCCTCATCATCATCATCATCACCATCATCATTCTTCAACAGCAACATCATCACCGCCATCACCATCACCATCACCACCACCACCTTCATCATCATCATCGTCATCATCATCATCATCATCATCAGCACCATCACCATTACAATCACCATCATCACCACCATCATCAGCACCATCATCACCACCATCACCATCATCATCATCATCATCATCATCATCATCATCATCATCATCATCATCACCATCATCATCATCAGCATCATCGTCATCATCATCATAATCACCATCATCAGCCTGTTCCTCAGCGTCCCCCTTCACATCTTCCTGCTGCTCCTGCGCTTCCTCTCCTCTTCGGCCTCAGCGACTTTGCCTCCATGATGTGCCTGAGGAGCCCTGGGCCAATGTCAGCCTATCCCAATCAGCTGTGTGATCCTTCTCGAACCGACCTCTGCAAATTCTGCTGCTGCTGCTGCTTCTCTCACTTCTGGTATTCACCCTGGCCCCGATTTCCACCCTCGTCCTCACCCTTGCCCTCGTCCTCGCACCCTCGTCACATCACTGCACCTTTTAACACACGACCCCTCCCGAGTTCGAGTGGCTGCCAGCCCAGGGCAGTGAGAGCACCACATCCGTCCCTGACAACAGAGGTGCAAAGAGCGCACTGCGGCAAGCATCGGGCCGCATGCGGGCACCCCATCATAATCTAGCACGGGTTCGTGCTAACGGCGGTGGACGGAGGGTGATCATGCTTGCCGTCGTGCGCTGACCCACCACCCACTAGCAACACCCAATTCCACGTTATCGCCCTCGTGCACACCATGCAACATACGAGTCACACCGCAACTATTTGGCAAGGACGGTGTGGGTGTCGACGCACTTCCCGTCGTGCGCTGCCACATGCGCTGGCGCACCTGGCGCACCCTGCGCCCGCTGCTGCCAGCCGCGTCTGCAGCGCGTGGCACACTTGTGAAGGGGCCCCAGGACACACAAATAAATACACACAAATAAACATATTCCCCATAGTTTCCCATATTTTCTGGGTTTTTGTCTTCCCCCCACTTCCCATATTTTCCGATATTTTCATGGGAATCGACAATTCATTGTGTCTGTGTGTTTTTTCCCCTCCTGAACTTGGCGCCTCCATGCACGCCCGACACACGCTTGGGGCACGCCTGGGCACGCTTGGGGCACCTGGCGCGCGTGGCGGAGGGCGGAGACCGTGCAGGGCTTGCCACACAGTGACGTCGACCTCCCTCTGCCGCCGACACGCCGGCGTCTCCACCCGGCCGCCGACTTCTCCAGCCTCTCGCCTCGCCTCCGCTCGGCATGATGTGCCTCGACCTCCAGGGATCGAGGAGGTAGACGTTCGGCAATCTCCTGCTGCCTTGTGGGCGTGCTTGGCGCTTTGATTGGGCCACCGAGGACGTCCGCCGGCCAGGATCTGGGGCGGAACTGAGCCTTACCACTAACTCGGCTTACGTCCCCCCTCCTTATGCATCCTTTGTTCCTCCTCCTCCTCCTCTTCCTCCTCCTCTGGGGCCCCCTGAAGCATTCGAGTCTCCTCCTCCTCCTCCTCCTCCTCCTCGTCCGTGTCCTGGCGCTGGCGGCACGCTGCAGTAGTCCGTCGATGGACAGTGCCTTTGCGTCCTTGTCATCGTCGTCCTCCTCCTCCTCCTGCTCCTCCTCCTCCTGCCTCTGCCTGGACCTAGGACGTCGTGCTTTTTTCAATCCGCGGTCTCCCAGGGCTCTCGACCCCATCATGGGACCACGCGGGCATTTCCAGTGGTCCCCGGGCCAGGAACGGCCCCGGAGGCCGGGCACTTCGCAACCCCGGCCGTGGAGTCTTCGGTCTTCGCAGGCTGCTGGTCTGAGTCCTCCTCTCGGCTAGGCGTAAGAGTGACCTTTGGTGCGCAGCTTTTGGGGGCGCGAGGGGGCCAAACCCAAGGGCGCGGGCCGCTTATATCGCATCGCGCTCGGCGATCGGGGGGAGCCCGATGAGCCCGCACCAAAGGTCACTCCAGCGAAGGGTCACTCTTACGTGTAGTCGATCCTCTCGGGGGAGGTGAACTGGCCGCCTCACCGATCCTGGCCGGGCCGATCCTGGGCCAGGATCGGTGTCTACGCCCCCCTGGCCTGGGCAGGGGGGGCAGGGGGGGTGGGGGGGGGCCAGTGCGCCCATCCTCGATCCTGGACCCGCGATCTCCCCGGCCAGGATCCGTGACGACCTCGGGCTCCTTCGGCCGCGGGTCGGCGCAATTCCTGCCACGTGTCGAGGAGGAGGAGGGGGATGCTCTGAGATGGTACTCTTCCCGTGGTAGCGGAAGGTCCCTGGAGCAGGAGCAGGAGGAGGAGCAGGAGAAGGAGGAGGAGGAGGAGGAGGAGGAGGAGGGGGAGGAGGAGGAGGAGGAGGGGGAGGAGGAGGAAAGAAAAGAAGAGGATGAGGAGCGCCTCCTCCGCCTCTTCCCCCTTCCCAAGTCCCAAGCAGCCTCAAACTCTCTCCTCCTCGGGCGGGCCGCGAGGCCGGCTGGCCGGGCGCAGGGCGCATGCGACGTCGGTGCAGCCTCAGCGCCGGCAGCCGGGAGCGGACGTTGCCGGGTGCCCTGCCGCCCAGCGTTGGCTCCCTCCCGCTGACGAGCCGAAGGCATACAGGCTCGTCGAACGTTGCCTCCCCCCCCGGTTGAGCAGGGACCGACCGTCCCAGCTTTCCTATAGGCCTACCACGGCATCATATTCTTAGAACCCAGAAATGTTTTAAGAACGATCGCCTTTTTCTTAGAACATAAACCTGATGTGCTGAAGCAAGGCTGTCTCAGCCAGACATGTTCTCATAGCAGTTCGTGCAGACCACGACAGGCTCTTAGAACATCCTTTGGTGGGCCTAAAATTAGGCAAGCCAGGACGCACTGCCCGACCGAGGAGCACCCCTACCGCTCCCGCTCTCCCCAGACCCCCGACGTCATGCTTTTCGCACGACGCGACCCCCAGAGGGTCCGGGACCCACTCTCTCCGGGACCCTTTCTTTTTGCCGCACCGTTTTTGGACGGCCGGTGAGGGCCCCCGAGAGGCCGAACACGTGGCGACCAGCCTGCCAAGTTTTTTTTTTTTTTTTTTTTTTTTTTTTTTTTTTCCGCGGCGCAAGGGGGGGGGGCGGGGCTCTCGTCCGCTCTGCCTGCTCGCCCATGGGCGGGCGGCCTCGTACTCCTTCGGCGGCGGCTCCGCGGCGCTCTGGCGCTTCTGCCTGCCCCCCTTCCGCGCCCCGCGCCGCCGCGCGCGCTGCGCGGGAGCGGCGGCGGGGGAGCTCGCGCGGCGCGGCTGGCAGCTCCTGCTGCTCTCGGCTATTTTTTTGTTTCTCCTCCTCCTCCTCCTCCTCCTCCTCTTCCTCGTCGTCTCTCCTCCCCTCTTCGTCTCGCCTCCTCTTGCTCCTCCTCCTCCTCCTCCTCGTGCCTCCTCGCCTCCTCGTCTCTCCTCCCCCCTCCCCCCCCCATTCAGCACGTGCTAGCACATCTGGAAGAAATGGCCTTACCATAATGAACGGTGCCGTCACTGCCTACGTCTTCAGGCGCAATCGATGCTCCAACCTGTATATGATGTGGTGTTTTGGTGCTCTCTCTCTCTGTCTCTGTGAAGCTGGTGGACCACATCATACATGCGCTGGCAAATCTGGGTCGATGCATCCTGGATGAAGAGAGCATGTGCTGCCGCCAATTGCAATTTCAGCCGTCCTCTCCCTGGGGATCCCGCGACGAACTTGAGCGCAAGTGCTTGGAAGATCTGAATGTGCTTGGTCCAACGTCGATGTATGATTACGGCGACTCCGTGGCATGTTTGGTTGTTGCTATAACCAGCGAAGGCGTGACCTTCCGAGATGTCCAGGACCTGTCTGCCGTTCCTCTCCACGTTTCGTTGAGGACTACATCCCTATGGCTGGTTCCAGGCTCCTTAATCACCTCGCTGGCACGGTTGTCTCTTGTAGGTGTCTGGGCGTTTTGGTGAACACCTGTCATGTGCATGTGGTCAACTTGCTGTGTCTGATGGCGCTGATGATTGTCAGTGCTGCTCCCGTGCTGCTGGAGTGTCAGCGTTGCTTGTTTGAGCTGCTGGAGTGTGTTGGTTCCAGCTGGTGCTGCTGGAGCTTAGGTGTGGCGTTCGTTGGCTGGATGTGCTGCTGGCTCCAGCTGGTCTGTCGCAATTGCACCTGGTCGGCGCGTCGGTGATGGTTGGCGGTGATGGTCTGAGGCGGTGGTGCCCCTGGTCCGTCGGCGTTGCTCGGGGTTGCTGTTGGTTACTGCTCGGCCGCCGGTGCCGCTAGCCTGTGGGCCGACTGGGGCTCGTGGTGCTGCTGGCTCGCGGTGGTCGGTGGTGCTGCTGGTCTGCCGGTGCGGGCCGGTGGCGCCGTTGGTCGGTGGTGGTGATCGCGGGCGGCGGTTGGCGGTATTGCTGGTGGCCGCTGTTGAACGTGGGGGGAGGGTGAAAGGGGAAGCACGAGGCACGGAGGTGTGAGGTGGGAGGAGAAGGAGCAGGATGAGGGAGGCAGGACGAAGGCGTGAGGTGGAAGCAAGAACGGAGACGTGGGCGGTGAGGGGATGCGAGAGGGTGGTTTGCTTGTGGACTCCGGTTCGCCAGGGCAGCCAGCCTTGCTGCCGGCTGGGGCAAGAGGCGTCGCCGACGTCGCCGTCGTCGTCGTCGTCGTCGTCGTCGTCGTCGTCGTCGTCGTCGTCGTCGTCCCCGATGGCCACCCTGTCTTCTTTGCCTTCTTCTTCTTCGCCTTCGCCGCGCCCGCTGTCGCCGTGGCGGCCTCTCTCTTCTCCGGCTTCTCGGAGGAGCGCCGCACAGCCAGGGTGCACTTGCCGTACTTTGTGCCTCCCGCCCCCCCGTGCACACGGGCGTGGCGGCAGCGGAGCGCGCTTCGATGTATGGCCCCCCTGTTGCAAGTGATGGTGTAAATCTGTGTGCTGGACTCACGGCCCTGGCCAGAGTCTTCGACGTCCCCCAGCTTCGCGCATCGCGCCCCGCGATGCACGACTACGATTCGGGCCCTCGAGCCGCCCCCTTGGAGATGGGCAACCCCTCTGGCCCAGACCGCAACGCTCGAAGCGCGATTCTCTTCCCACCCTCACGGTCGACCGACATCCTGACATGCAGCTCGATATAAACGACGGCAGACCACGCCGACACTGGTGTGTCTGTGTGTGTTCTCCTCTGCGTGGCCTGCCGGACCCGTGTCTGGCAGCGTCAAGTTTTGCCCCCGGCCCCTGAGGATCCAGCCTGGGGGGATGGGGGGTGGCGGAAGTAAAACTTATCACTCCGCGCGGGCGGGGCGACGGAGGCAGAGGAAACGAGCGCCTCCTTCCTCCTTCTCCTCCGTCTCCTCCTCCTCCCTCACTCCCTCATCTTCCCCTCTCCTTTCCTCCTCTCCCTCACTCCCTCCTCCCGTCGAGCTCCTGCTTCCTCCCTCCTCCTTCCCCTCCTTCTCTTCCTCCTGCTCCTGCTGCTCCTCCGCCCCTCCTCCTCCTCCTCCTCCTCCTCCTCCTCCTCCTCCTCCTCCTTCTCCTCCTCCTCCTCCTCCTCCTCCCTCCCTCCCTCCCTCCCCCTCCCTCCCTCCCTCCCTCCCTCCCTCCCCTCCCTCCCTCCCGCCCTCCCTTCCCTCCTCCACCTCCACATCCACCTCCCGGGCCTCGGCCTCAATCCTCCGTTCCGTGGCTGGGTGTCCGCTGCCATGCCGCAGGGCCCGCGGTGCAGTGTCCTCGAACCCCTTACGGCTCTCTCTGCTGAGGACTGGAGCCACGTGCCCTGCAGTGCGCTCGGGCGCCCGGGTTTCGAGGAGCTCCCTGCGCTGCTTCGAGGAGTTCCCGCGTGCCCCCGGCGTGCCCCGCTGGACTGTGCTCTCCCGGCGCCTCGGGCACGTGAGCGGACGTCCCTGCTTCGCACGTGTCCTAAGCTGGCCCCAGGGCAGTCGTGCTGGGGCTCTCTTGAGAGCCCCTTGGGCCGCCTTGGAGGCCACGGGGAGGCCAACACTACGCAGACAGCTTGGGGGTGCTCGTGAGCATGTCGCGTACGGTACTGCACGATCGTGAAAGCCTTGGACGGCCCAAGAGGCTCAAAAGAGAGCCTCAAGAGGCCACTTCGACCCTCGAGGCTCCCCAGGAGGCCCCCAAGGCGGGGGACACTCGAATTGCCTTGCCGTTCGCAGTCCGCCACCCCGAGATAGCCACCCGGCTTCCAAGAGGCTTCAAAGAAGCCTCCAGGAGGATCCCAAGACGCCCCCGACAGGTCCCCAAGTCGCCCCGAAGAGGCCTAGGCTGAATGCCACCATACCCCCCACCCCCTGTTGATTCATCTTAGGGGTGCGAAGTCGAACTTTAGGATGCTGTTTAGCCCTTCGAGGGTCTGGGCATCGATCCTCAGCGGCCTTCACCGAAGACATCCGTATAGATGCCCTTGCGGTCTGGATGCTAAGGCGCGATCCCATGGAAACGCCATTCCATTGGTGCGCTCCGCGCGGGGTGCCTGCGCTCAAAGCCGCTCCGCATTTCATGGCGTCGCAGCCTGGCGGCTCCACGGCTACGGATATGATGCATCCCGCCCAGCTAGGGAGACGGAGGGCAGGGAAGGGGGTCGGATCTCGGGGAAAGGTCCGGGTGGTGTGCCCGCAGGACGAGCAGAACCGTGGCCTCGACAAAAGCTGGCGCGAACGAGGGGTACCGCTCGGACCTCCCGCAAACAGAGGCAGCCACGCACGCGGTCCGTCGGCCGAGCACACGGCAGCAGTGCTGGGGAGGAAGGGTGGAGCAGGGATGGGGGGGACAGGGTGAGGTCGGGTGTGCCCCCCTACAGGCGGAATTTGGGAGCGAACATGGGACATGCCAGGGAATACAAGAGATGAGCGAACATGGTAAAAGACATAGTCCCCAGACTATGTCTTTGACTATGTTTGCGAATATTCTTCCTGCAGAGGGACAGGCCCGACTTATTGAGCAGGGACCGACCGTCCTGGCATTCAGATAGTCCTACCACGAAGTGCTCTTAGGACCCAAAAATGTTCTAAGAACAAAAACTTAGAGCATAAACCCGATGTGTTCAAACCAGGCAGCCTCCGCCAGAAATGTCCTAAGAACATTCCGTGGAAACCACACAGAGGTTCTGAGAATACTGTTCGGTTGGGCTATAGGCGAGCCGGAACGCCTCGCCACTGCTTGAACCTAAGCGCAGGTTGGCGGCGCGCACAAGGGGGTGGGGAGGGGGAGGGCTTCTTAGAAGCAGGCTGCTTCTTAGAAGGCGCTGGTCTTACATCTATAGATAAGGCCCGCGCCTTCTAAGAAGCAGGGGTGCTTCTAAGAAGCCCTCCCCCCTCCCCCCACCCCCCTCTGCGCGTGGCTGAGCAGGGGGGGAAGCCACGAGGATGAGGGCCCGCTCGCCTGCGGCCGCTCGGAGCCGGCCGGGGCCGGCCAGGGGCCCCCGCTGCGGCAGCCACGTCTCCCTTCGCGCCACCAGGCCTCGCTAGAGGGCAGAACATCCACCCCGAGAATGACCACCCCGACACGCGAAGGCTTTTAGTAAACGCACCCAAAAGGAGGAATCGAACAGGGCAGGGCTGTTTAGTAAACGCCCAAGGCCGTTTGATAAACGCCAGTTGTCCGGTCCGGGTGCTTTTTTTCCTATCTTGACTCACGCGTCGCGGTGGGGAGCCGAGGCTGAGGTCGGGCGTGTCCTCCTACAGGTGGATTTCGGACGAAAATGAAAGATAACCGACACATGCGCAAACAGAGTCATATATATATATATATATATGTCATCAAAATTCTTCCCCCGATGTGTGAAAAACCGCGTTTGAAGATCCCTCCTGTAGAGGGACAGGCCCGACCTGAGCCTAGGCCTCCGCGGTATCTTGCGCGACGGGCAGGGCGCGTCTGCCGCCCCGCCGCCACGCTGCAGCTCCCCGGCGCGCAGGGGGCCCGCTGCGCCAGGGGGCTCCCGCGCGGACTCGGCCTCGGGCCCTCCCACGTGCTCCAGCTGGCGGCGCGCTCAGGGGGGTGGAGGGGGGAGGGCTTCTTAGAAGGAGCCTGCTTCTTAGAAGGCGCCGGCCTTACATCTAACTGTAGATAAGGCCCGCGCCTTCTGAGAAGCAGGGGTGCTTCGAAGAAGCCCTCGCCCCTCCCCCCACCCCCCTCTGCGCGTGGCTGATCCAGATCGCGCGCGAGCCATACTGGTTGCGTGAACGTGCACGCCTGCACATACGACACGTGCTCAGCACATATGCGACACACGACGCCTACACCGAGGCCAAGTACTGCACACAATGAGAAGAACTGCAGATCGAAGAACTACCCTGGCCAACCCTCTGGCCAACCCTCTGGCCAACCCTCCCGGCCACCCCCTCTGGCCAACCCCTCCGGCCAACCCGCCGGCCGGTCACCCTCACGGCCGACCCTCTGGCCAACCCTCTGGCCAACCCTCCCGGCCAAACCTGGTCTGGGCAATTCTTGCCACATGATATTGCAACGCAGTGGAAGGTATATGCCACAGTCCATGCGCTCGTGTTGTGGATGCCATGACAATGGACACCCTGGCAATCCCATCATTGAATTAAGCATGTGTGTAAGATATCTGAATCATGTTGAACACATGTTTGCAGCATGTTTTACATGCTTCAAACGACATGTTCAAACTATGTTTTATACACCTGGAAATCACTTGGCAACATGCTTTCTCTCCACTGATCGTCGTCCACAACGCTCGTGCTTCTGGCAGGAAGGCAGGACGACTGACCGCTGGAGCCTGGCCTCGGACGGGCGCCGCGGGTCCGTTTCTGCGCACACGGGCCGCAGCAGCGCAGTGCGAAGTGGGCGCGCTGCCCTGGCCATTCCGCAGCCAGCGCACCGAACAGCATCTGGGTGGCATGCAGCGTTCACCTTGCCAAGGAGTCCGCGCCCTCTCTGATGAAAGGAAGCGCCGAGCGGCGATTCCAGAGGTGAGGAGGAGGAGGAGGAGGAGGAGGAGGAGGAGGAGGAGGAGGAGGAGGAGGAGGAGGAGGAGGAGGACGACGAGGACGACGAGGACGACAAGGAGGAGGAGGAGGCGGTGGATAAGGACGACGACGACGAGGATGAGGAGGAGGACGACGAGGATGAGTACCAATCAATGATCAGAGCGAGCATTTCGTTGGTTTCTGGCCTGCGTTCGGGCGCGCGGGCGCTGCGGGCCGCACTGATGCCAGGTGCTTCAGGGTGCAGTGGCTCCGTGGGCGTCTTCGGTGCAGCCCGCCGTTAGGGCACCCGTAGGGGCTGGCCAGCGAGCTTGGCGCGGGGTGGGTCGAAGAGGCGCGGACGGGCCCAAGGGGTAAGGCTTGGCCGCAGAGGCAAGGGTGGGCCGAGGATGTGAACACGGACCGCATAGGCACGGATTGAGCCACACCTGGCCTGGGAATGCAAGGGCGCAGAGGTGGAGGGGGCGGAGGGGGTACTTAGAGGAGGGTAATCCACCCGCCTGCATCTCGTGTAATTGGAAGTCTTCATGGCGAGGGAGCTGGAACGAGGCTCGCTCACGCGGGATATCTGTTGATCCCGAGGCCGAGCTTCTGCACAGCGCTGGCACCACTGACTTCCACCTGGTTGGCGTCTCCCTTATCGTTCCCCTCTCCTCCTCGTGCTCCCTCGTCATCCCTCCTCCTCCTCTCTCCATCTCTCTCGATGTCCCTCCTTTTCCCTCCTCGATCTCCCTTCTCCCTCTCCTGTCCTCCTCCTTCTCCGCCTTGTTCCTCGTCGTTCCTCCTTGTACCTCATCGTCTCTCCCCATTCTCCCCGTTCTCCTCGTCTCTCCCGCCCTCCATTCACTTCTCCTCCTCCTCCTCCTCCTCCTCCTCCTCCTCATTCTCCTCCTCCCCAGCCTCCTCCCCATCCTCCTCATCCTCCTCCTCCTCCTCCTCTCCAGCCTCCTCCTCCTCCTCCTCCTCTTCCGCCTCTTCCTCCCTCAGCCGTGGCGGTTTGAGCCCAAGCCTCTCTCCTGAGTATCTCCTCGCCTACTGCACTTTACCTTCTACACAAGATGCCCATGATTTGCGCCACTGCGAGCGGCGGCCGCTGGCGGGGCGCCTGCGGCCGTGGCAGGCGTCCTCTACAGAGGCCATCGGCTTGCGCACGCGCAGGGCGGCTGCAAGGAGTGCCTCCCAGGTGCTCTGCTGAGCAGCCTGCGGCGGGAGCCGCTGTGAGGGCAGGCCCGGCGCCGCCGGGCCCAGCCCAGAGCGCCCCGCGGGCTTTCGACGAGACGCTGACGGAGGCCTCGTCCTTGCCACGTTCCTCGGCATGCTCCCGCGACGGTCGGTGGCCGGCTCTGGCGCAGTCCGGAGGTCGGTGCCGAAGTCCTGGGAGAAGAAAAAGCACGCCATCGACAGAAACTTCTGCGCACTGCGCGCGGACTTCTTGGATCTGCGCTAGACCCCAGGGGCGGCGCCAGAGGCGCCGCTGGGGGGGCCCAGCGCGGATCCAAGAAATCTGCGCGGAGCGCGCAAACGTTTATGCTTATGGCGTTATTTATCCCTCCGAGGTCCGTGGTTCCCCTGCGTCCTTCCTCAAGCTCTCGTTGCGGAGGAGGAGGAGGAGGAGGAGGAGGAGGAGGAGGAGGAGGAGGAGGAGGAGGAGGAGGAGGGAGGGGGGAGGAGGAGGGGGAGGGGGAAGGAGTAGGAGAGGAGGAGAGATGAGAGGAGGAGGAGATGAGGAGGAGGAGGAGGAGGAGGGCAGAGGAGGAGGAGGATGTAGGATATCGAGCGAGGGGAGGAGAAGGGGGAGAGGAGAATGCTGAGATGATGATTGTATGCTTCTTCCTCGTATTCTTCATCTCTACTGAGGAGAGGCCGGCGTCGTACATTGAGCGAATTGCTGAGGAGGATGAGGAGGAGAGGCAAGGATGATGATGAGGAGGGGGATATGCTTCTGCTGATGATATGATGAGGAGGAGGGGGATGATGATGATTATGATGATGAATATGATGATGATGTGATGATGATGATGATGATGATGATGATGATGATGGCGACGACGACGACGACGACGACGACGACGACGACGATGATGATGATGATGATGATGATGATGATGATGATGATGATGATGATGATGATGATGATGATGATGGGGAGGAGGAGGAGGAGGAGGAGGAGGAGGAGGAGGAGGAGGAGGAGGAGGAGAAGGATGAGGAGGAGTAGGACGAAGGGAAGGAGGAGGAAGAGGAGGACTCCCGTCACACCACCAGGAATGCGCTGGGAAGGGGGGCCCATCGCGGATCCAAGAAATCCAGCGCGGAGCGTCAAACGTTTATGCTTATGGCGTTGTTTTAATTCTTATGTTCTTCTTCTTCTTCGATGCAGCACCAGGAGCGCAGGGCGATGACCTCGGTGAGGGGGTCCGGCGCCGATCCAAGAAATCCAGCGCGGAGCGCCAAACGTTCACATGTGGATGGCGGTTTTTCTTCTTCTTCTTCTCCTTCTTCGATGCAGCGGCAGAAGCAGGGCGAGGACCTCGGTGAGGAGGCTCGCCGATGGAAGTGCGGGGCCTTGCCGCACGCCCTCCCCGTGCGAGGCTCGATTCGGGGAGACGTGGGACTCGGGTTCGGGGGGCTCGGGCTGACCCGATGGGGCTGTCAGAGAAGCGACGAGGCCACGGCTCAGGTCGGGCATGTCCCCCTACAGGCGGATTCGGGACGACAAATAACAACACATACACCGAACATGTCCACAAATGATCACACAATACTTGAAACATCGTCCCCAAACAATTGTTGGACTATCTTTTGAATACTCCTTCTGTAGAGGGGCCGGCCCGACTTAAGACTCGGGTTCGGGGGGCTCGGGCTGACCCGATGGGGCCATCAGGAGCGCGACGAGACCAAGGCTGAAAGAGGAGGAGGATGAGGAACGTATGACGCGAGCCCCCCCACTGCACACATCCTGCGAAAGCTGGGCCGTCGCAGTCCATGACGGGGCCGTCAGAGAGCGTCGGCAAGCCCGAGCTCTGGCGAACTCGAGCTCTACGCTCCCCCGATCGGTGTGGCAACGCGCTGGTGCAGGCCGAGGCCCACGCCGCCGGCTCCCTGGAGGAGGTGGCCACAGCCAGCGACGACACCTCGGCCACAGTGGGGGCACTGGATACGGAACCCTCAGATAAGGAATCCGGGGTCTGGGGGCCAGTGGAGCTCCAATCGAGGCGTGGCCACGGATATCACCGCCGACCTCGTCAGATAAGGAACCCTCCAGGGTCTGCAGCATCCTGGGCGCATTCCTCAACGGAAAGCCCCCACCGTATCCATAGTCGACAAGTCGGAGGTGGACGGTAGCGGCGGGAAGGAGGGAGCGACCAAGAAGGAGGCCATGCAATGTAACTGGCGCTGGCTCCCCAGACCCCCGACGTCGCAATGTTTTCATGGCGCGACCCCGAGGGAGGTCCGGACCCATTCCCCGGGACCGGTTTCTCATCCTGAGTCGTCGTTTGACGGTTCCGAGGCCCGGTAAGGGGCCCCAGAGGCCGAAAATAGCGCCAAACCTCCCGACGTGATCTTTTTTGACTGGAGGGGGTCTGGGGAGGGAGCGACCAAGAAGGAGGCCATGCAATGGAACTGGCGCTCAGGCGACGGGATCCGGCCTCTGCTTGGGGTGCCTCAACGGCCGCGGACCACAGCTCCGAGCTGCATGCAGGCTGGGAGCGTCGCAAGGCCCAGCAGCACGACCTAAAGGCGGTCTCGGCCTGGCTGGCGTAGCTTTAGCGCAAAATTTATGCTGCCTCCCCAGACCTCCTTGAGTCATGAACAGAAATCACGACGGGATTTTTTTCTACATTTTCGGCCTCTGGGGGCCCTTACCGGGCCTCGGGGCCGTCAAAAAACGGCTCGGGCTGAACACCTGGTTCCGGGGACTGGGTCTGGACCGCTGGGGGTCGCGCCATGAAAAAAACATGACGTCGGGGGTCTGTCTCTGGCCTGTCACAGACTCGAGGATCGACCTCTCGGGCATGACGGCGCAGCTAGAGGCGCTGAAGAGCGACCTCGATGCACGCTGGGCGCGGAGGACGAGCTCGGGGCGGAGGCGGCACGGGAGGCTTCGGCACTGGCGGCAGGGGTGCCGAGGCGGCCAGCGCCAGCTGGGCTGGCGCAGTGGCTGCTGACGTTTATGAGGAGGCCAAGACCACTGGCAGCGATGCTGAGCCACAGTGACGTCTGCCTTGCAGGATTGCGACCCTGACGCGCTGGTGGCCATGCCGCCCATGCCGTTTTCAGAGTAAGCCCTGGCGGCGCGTGCAGAGGGGTAGGGGGAGGGGGGAAGGCTTCTTAGAAGCACTCCTGCTTCTCAGAAGGCGCGGGCCTTGTTCCGGCGCCTTCTAAGAAACAACCTCCTTCTAAGAAACCTTCTCCCATCCCCGTACCTCCTTTGCTCGGGGGAGGTGCCCTCTCCAAAATGCGGCCGGTACCGTCTCGTTCGGCGGCGGAAATCTGCGATTTCCTATAGAAACGGCACCCGTCGCTAATCCACGCCCCCTTGATCCATGTTTGCGATCGCCGGATTCGAAGAAACAACCTTCTTCTAAGAGATCTCCCCCCTCCCCCTACCTCCCTTTGCGCGCCGCCAATGAACCCAGGCTGAACCGTGGCGAGGAGACCGCGGCCAGGAAGAATCACCAAGCAGGCTGGAGACGTGACCCACAGCTACGCCTGCATGCTCCATCTGCGGCGCCCCGTCCTGCGGCACTCGAGCAGTGCCGCGGGGTCGTGGGGAAGCTGGGACCGGAGGCTTACCGCAAATGGCTGGACCAAGGTAGTCTTGGGCAAGGGCGCCTAACGTCGCGCTTCGCGCCGCGCGCAGCGCGAATCACGTCGCGCTCTCGCGCCGCCCCCTCAGGGGAGAAGATGAGGATGAGGAGGGATCGGAGCCAGAACGCGAAGCGCGAATAACTTCGCGCCCTCGAGGGCGCGCTTGCTTGGGTCTGGTGGGCGGTCAACATGCATGGGTGTCTCCACGTTCTTTACATCCTCCGCCTGCGCTCTGCTGGAACTCCTCACCTGTCGCCTGCCTTGCCTCGTGTTGGCTGTGTGCGGCAGCTGAAAGGTCTCGCACGTTCTGCCACCATCCCTGCTTAGGCACATTGGCGCTTTGCCTCGTGTGAGGCTGCCGCGCGCCAGACGATCTGCGGCAGGCGATGCCTTTCCATCGGGTGGCCGTCGCACGCCTCCCGGAACACGAGCTCAGCTGCACGAGCATGACACATCCGGAGCTCCGTGCGCTCCTCCGAGCGCCTGTGCTCATGCCGAGCTCGCCTCCTTCCATCGCCGTGCCCCGCTGCCTCTGCAGCCGCGCCCTCTTCCCGACGCCGGTGGCGCGCGGCCGCCCGGTGCCTCGCCCCTGGGCAGTGCGCGCCCGTCTGCCGGGCAGTGCACCTCGGCCTGCTGCCCGGCGTCCCGAGTGTCGGCCGCCCTCGGAGGCAGCGCGCTGCCGCTGATCTTTCGGCAGTGCGCCTCAGACTGCACGCCTCCTCCTCCTCCTCCTCCTCCTCCTCCTCCTCCTCCTCCTCCTCCTCCTCCTCATGGGCAGCGAGCACGGCATGCAAATCACCAACGAAATATTTCGAGTGTTCCGCCTGAAAGAGACCTACAAGCCAGACGGGGTCGAGGACGCAGCTCGGAAGGTGAAACTACAGTACAGTATGAACTTGCAGCCAGACCTTCGCACGACCCTCCAGCTCGCCACCAAGCAGGGCCAGGAGGTCCCCTCAGTCCCGTCCACGATCGACATGCGCGCGCTGCAGTCAGCGTTCAACTTAGTACTGACCAAGCATCGGGGGGCCAGGCCAGTGGGTCCAGGACCTCGCAGGGAGCTCGAGCGCGCAGTCGAGAGGCAGCTCCGCAATTTACAGAGGCAGTAATTGCACAAGCTGAGATACTAGCACGGGACCCACAGAAGTTGACCAAAATGTATCGGTTACTTGATGGGGGATCTGAGCGTGTGCGACACATCGTGCAAGCAGTCGAATTCGTTCGTGCCCGAATGGCCAGTACCACAGCCAAGTTCGTTCAGGGAAGTGGGTCTGGGTCTAAATAAGTTTTTACGGGGTCCACATCATGAGTGCGTACCTCATCTACTACACTGATATGACTACTCGAGGGAGCTGTCATTCTATATGAGGGGAATTAGGAGATCGTCCTTAGCCTTTTCCTCGAGCCTTTCTAGAGAGCGCAAGGCACCAGCACGTCAAGCCCAATGGCCAGTGGATCCTCTGCACGAGCCCCGACCCCGAAAGCAGCACCGAGGCCTCGTCCTGCGACAGTTGCCCGTGGAGTTGAGGCGGACGCTTACCTACAGACGGCCAAGATGACCCATGTCACCGCAGCTCAGCGCATCAAGCAACATCAGTCCATCATGATCGGTGAATTCTCTCGGATGACGGCAAGCCTCAGATCGAGCGAAGCCCAATTCAGCCTGTTGCGCAATTTGAGGTTTGAGGACTCTGAAGATGAGCGGGAGCGGGTCATCCTTGTGCGCAATCTCTCGTCCCAGATCGAGTATATAAAGCACCAGAATGACATAATTATGCAGCTCCTTGAGAATTTCGATACCAAGAGTCCCAGCGTCATTGAGCACAGCTATGTTCCAGATCCTGATGGGGATGGTGCGAGTGAGGTGAGGGGCAGTGAGAGGCAGTAGCATCTTGTATGTGTACATGCGTGCCTAGCTCTCTCTCTTCCCCCTGCTTTCCCCTGAGAGCGCCCCTTCCCTCCCCCCTCCCCTCCCCTCCCGCTCGACATCTACGGCGTGCGGTGCTGCGACTTCCAGTGGGAGCCGCGCGCGCCGAGCGTGCCGAGGAGGAGGAGGAGATTTAAAACATCTTGTTTTTTTTCTGCCTTTTTTTCGTCGCCGTGCCTGGCGTTGGCCAGGTTGCGAGGGAATAGAATGGCCCGCAGAGTGAAGCGAGCGAGCGTGGCCCACTGAGGTTAGCTCGCTCGCTCCCCCGTTTTGTTTCCTCCATCAGTGCTTGCAGAGTTTGGGGTTCGGGCGTGAGGTCTGGCCCCAGGCAGTGCTTGCATCGGTGGGGGGTTCCGAGGCTGCAATGGGGAGCCCCTGCTGGAGCGGGGCCGCTTCCAGCAACAGCTGGCGCGGCTCCCGCGGGCGGCGGAGGTGACGATACCCACAGTTGCAGTAGCTCAGTCTCCTAGGGGCTTGATGTGCTGTCAGACATCGACTCATGGCCCCCAACGGCTCCACCACCACCACCACCTCCTCCTCCTCCTCCTCCTCCTCCTCCTCGTTCTTCTCCCCCTATTAGTGCATCCATCCTTCCTTCTTTCCTCCTCCTTCTCATCCTCCCTCCTCCTCCTACCTCCTCCTCCTCCTCCTCATCCTGCTCCTCCTCTTCCTCCTCCTCCTCCTTCTCCTCCTCCTTCTCCTCCTCCCTCCCTCCCTCCCCCCCTCCCCTCCCCTCCCTCCCTCCCTCCCTCCTCTCCTCCTCCCTCCTCCTCCACCTCGTCCTCCTCCTTCACCCTCCATCAGTGCAGCCTTCCTTACTTATTTCCTCCCTCCTCCTCTCCTCCTCCCCTCTCCTCCTGCTCCTGCTCCTGCTCCTGGTCCTGGTCCTTGGTCCTGCTCCTCCTCCCCCTCCTCCTCCTCCTCCTCCTCCTCCTCCTCTCCTCTCCTCCTCTACTCTCTAGAACTACTCAATATGAATACCACTCTCCTGCTCTCCTCTCTCCGCCGACTACGTGCCGAAAGTATCCCGCCCTCTACGTATACTGTTCTTGAAAAACACACCGGGTTTCGGACGCTGATCGTTTATGCGTGTTGCATTCGGAACGGCTCGGGTCTTTCGAAATGGTGCTTCCGCTGCAGCGTGCGCCTCATGTTAGGCTCGGCGCATTGCTCCCGTCGCTCAGAATGGCGCTATCGCCACAGCGCGGGCCACTCTTATGGATCCGAGCCCTCCCTCATCGTAAACTCCCCTCTTCATTCCACTCCCCGCCTTTCCGTGGTCCTCCCGCTCCTCTCACTCCTGCGTCTGCTGTTCCTTGTCGTCCTCCTTCCTCATCGTCTCTCCTCCTCCTGCTCATCCTCTAGCTAGTCCGCCACCTCCTACTCCTCCTCCAATGTACACAGCTATCCTGTTCCGGTTGCGCATAAACACGATGGTGTCCTTTTGGGATTCCAGGTTCGCCAAGACATCAGTCCGCGGATAGAGACGAACATTTGTGCAATGGGAAGGGACGGGTGCAAGAGGAAGGCCGTCAGATACAGTGCGAGCGAACCTAGCTTGCATCTCCTCTCTCCTCCTCTCCTCCTCCCTCCTCCTCCTCCTCCTCCTCCTCCTCCTCCTCCTCCTTCCTCCCTCCCTCCCTCCCTCCCTCCCTCCCTCCCTCCCTCCTCGGCCTTCCTCCTCCTCGTCCCCTCCCTCGTCCCCTCCCTCCCCTCCTCCCTCCCCTCCTCCCTCCCCTCCTCCCTCCTCATGCCTCTACGTTCTCCGCTTCCCCCTCCGAGATGTCGCCTGGCTTGCGGGGGGATGTGTCCCCGTTGCCGAGGTCTCTGAACAACATTGACCCGACGCGCGCTGGCACTTTGGTCAGGCGGGCTGGTCGTCACTAAGCTTGCTCACGAGGAGCATGAGCACAAGGGAGGAGGGGTGAAGGGAAGGAGGAAGGAGGCGATTATATAATGGAGGATGGACCGGCCGAGTACACAAGCGAATAAGCGAGACGATGGTAATTAACGACCAGAGCGGGGTGGAGAGAGGGCGGGACGAAGAGATGGGAAACATTGCATGAACCACTACGCTGCCACGCCGAAGGCGTCTCAAGGACGGACAGGATGCTCCGGCACCTCGCTCTTCATCAGCACAACCTGCGGGTGTGCTTCGAGGAGGGAGCTGCGCGCCTCGTCCTTGCCCTTATGCCTCGTCTTGCAGCTGCTGCTCCATCTCTCCTCCTCCTCCTCCTCCTCCTCCTCCTCCTGCTCCTCTCCTCATCCTCCTCCCCTCCTCCTCCTCCTCCTCCTCCGTCCTCGTCTCCTCCTTCCTCCTCCTCCTCCCTCCTCCTCCTCCTCCTCCTCCTCCTCCTCCTCCTCATCCTCCTCCCTTTCCTCCTCCTCCTCCTCCTCCTCCTCCTCCTCCTCCTCCTCCTCCTCATCTCTCCTCCCCCTCCTCCGCTTGCATTGCGGGGTTGGCCTGCCAGGCGCCCTGGGCCAAGGCCAGAGCGGCCGAGCGCGGCTAGCTACGAGCTGCCTGATCTTCCCCGCCCGCTGTGGCACCTGGAGCGGGGCACCCCGTGCTGCACCGTCAGTGGTTTTCTGCCTGCCGCCCCGCGTGTGCTGACCTTCGTGCTGGTCTTGTCGGGCGAAACATTTCTCACACGCGCCCCATGCTTGGCATGTCGTCCAAGCACGGTCAGATATTGTGCACACTCAATCTGTTCTCACACCTCGGAGATTTCTTCTCCGGGCCTAACCAGTCGGAGCCTACCTTCCAGTATAATGGTAATCCCGAGCGTGGTGACGATCTGGTCCGAGGATCTTGATTCGGTCGGTCGTCGCGAAACTGACGAGGACAGTATGAGCTTACGTGTCAGGCTCCGATTATGATTAGGAGCTTGGTCATGGCCTCGCCCCTCTCGCCCACCCTATCTCTCAGACCGCGCAAGCTGGTGAATTTGCTGCTTGCACGGCTGCCTGTCGGAATGCGATGGATCCGTCTGGCGGCTTCGGGGACGGCCAGAACGTGGTGTGGCTCTAGGCTGCCCCTCGCTCCGAACACCTCCCTATTGAGCGAGCTCGTGCAAGCATATGAGCATGGACGGGCGATCGCAAAACGGACCGTATACACCCGTGTAAAGGACGCGTGACAGAGGCGACGGCGACGATGAACGCGACGAAGACGACGACGGCGATGAGGGCGGCGACGACGACAACGACACCCGCAAGGGGCAGACCAGGCTGGCCCAAGGCGGTCTCAACACCTGAGGCAGCGGACGATCCGCACGTTCATGTCCTAACGTCTGGGAGCAGTGCGGCCGCTCATCATGCGAGGCCTGGGGCTCTTGCGCACGAGCAGCCAGCGCCCGAGCAACATGGAGGGATTAGCAAGGCCATCGCAGTTTCTCGCATGGCACTTTTGCCTAGGCAGTGCTGCCCCGCGACGCCCACAGAGCGAAGGGGGGCTGGGCCCTCGCGGGTGCCCTGGCAGGCGGCAGCCTGGCGCAAGTGGCCTGCTTGGTCGCCCGCAGACGAGGTTAGAGCCCCCACGGCCCGATGCCCGGTGCCCCGGCAGCTCTGCAAGGCGGACCGCGGGAGGTCCGCGCCGAGGGAGGCCGCGACCCGTGCGGCCAAACGCCGCAGAGCCACGGGCCACGGCGACTCCAGCCCAGGAAGCACAGACAGAGCAGGCACGCCCGGAAGTCAGTCAGCGCCTGGGGGTCTCGGCCCGAGATGAAGATCCAGACAGCACGCAGGCGCGCATGTGGCCTCCGCGGCCCCGTGGGCCAGAGGGCAGACGAACGCAGACGGCTCGGCTGGGCCCCCCGACCGTTCCTGAGCATCTGCGCCTGTTCTGTCTGATATCACATGCCTGCAACCATCTGGCAATGCCTTGGGGTGCCGGCCAGTGCTGGAACTGCCGCGCCTGCTGCAGAAACGGACGCACAAGAGGCCCGTGGCCGTGGGCCCCGGCCGCGCGGAGCGAGCTGGGCGTGGAGCGGGGGGAACGCGGCAAACAAAGGAGGGAGCGAAGGGCAGGGGCCAGGGGTCTGCACGCAGAACCCTCTCGGCAGCACTGGCCGGCCGAAGAGTCCTCGCGCACTCGGAAGGCACTGCCAGCAGTTTCCCGCCCACCTAGTTTCTTGCGGGCCAGGAACGCAGAAACGGAGGGTTCTGGGCGGGCTCTGGGAGCTTCCCCCAACTCTCCCAAACAAACATCTGGCTCGGCGCCACTCTGGTAAAACTCTGACGGCAAACTCCGCCACTTGGTTCAACTGTTTCAAGAGAGCGGTGAGGGTGGCCACATCTTTGGGATATAAATGAAACACCGCATCCTCCTCAGCAAAAGCATCGGCCCCATTGTCCCCCCTGGTCTTCCAGCTGCGTTGTGCAGCAGAGCCGTCGTCCTCATTCACATGAAATTTCACCTCGTGAGAACTCCAAGCCCTCGGGAAACCCGCTTTGATCCTGCGACAGTGGCCCGACTGGGCTGTTTTGCCTAGCGGAGCCTTCAGCTGGCCCCTGGCACCCCGCATGAGAGCAGAGCACTCCACGACAATGCTCACGTCGGCATCCACTTCTTCTGGGGGGCTCTGGTCCAGGTGCTCCACCGCGTGCATGAGCCCGCGGTGCTCTTCAAGCGCTGCAGTGTGGGGACGCCTCCCAGGCATGAGCCCCATTGCCCATCGACGAGAGCGGCCGTCGCTGTCTATTTGCACTGCAGCCCGGCCCCCATCTGGCCCCGAAGTCTTGGGGTTCAAGGCTGAGCCGCCCGAATACATCTTCGCATCGTGATTGGACAAAAAAACGGGTCCGTGGCCCCGCCCTGGTCACTGTAGCGCACAGTGTCGGTGGTTGGGGGTTCCAGCTCCACCTCTGGCAGCTCCACCTCTGGCAGCGCACAGTTGAACAGCGGGTCTGGATCTCCTGGTGCGATGGCCTCCTGAAGGTCCTGGTCGAGCTCGAGTCTCGCCGTGTCTATGCGGGGGCAAGTCCAAATGCGGTTCCAGAGCGAATCCACAGCACGGCGGAACTCGCAGAACAGGGCGAGCTCGCACCCCCGCCGGTGGAGAGAGGCCGCCGTCGTGCATACGCGGCAAACAAAGCCCGAGCAACTTCTCAGACTCAAGGCTAACGGAGTTTAGCGTTAGCTTGTTCCTGACTGCAGCACGGGCGGATCGTCTGAGTGAGACACTGCGCACCAGGCAAAAGCAATCGTATGAGAGAATTTGCTCGTTGCCCGACGGCAACTATCTGAGATCACTGGTGTGTGAGCCCGGAACAAATACACCGCGGCAGTGGCGTCTGGTCTGGAAGCGTGGCCGCCTACACTTGCAATGAACCCATTGCGTATACATACTGCTGCAATAAAGCCTCGTAGCGGCACGGATTACCCTCCCCTCCTCGTCGTCGTCGTCGTCCCCACCCCTCTCCTCCCTCCCCCCGCGTGACCCGATCTCTGCTTCGCAGTCGGGCGTTCTGCTGTTTCTCTGCCCACGCGTCCTGCCGTTAACCTGGCTCAGTGACGACAGTGGTGCCCAAGCGCCGTGCCAGGGGCTGGCGCATGGCTTCTGTTCTGCTCTTGTTCCTGGTGGGTTGGGCCCAAAGGCCCCCGTCCTGGATTTCAGTCGCCCTTGGATGACCCCAGGCCTGGATCAGCTTGTAGACGCTGGCATCAAGAGACGTCCTGTGGAGGTCCTGGGTGAATCTCCTTCCTACCAGCTCTGGCGGGGAGTCCGTCAGGCAGACAGGGGTGTCGGACGCCGACTTGTGCTGCGCCTGGCTGACAGAAGCCCAGCCTACCTCTGCCCCCACAGTAATGCATCTAAGATGGGGGTGAGTGCCCCGTCGACGCCGTCCAAGACTCCAACACGGGGGGGGGCCTTGATCAGCGCCTCGAGGCATGCGTGAAACGCCTGAGTGAGGGGCCAACGCGTAGACCGTCAGATGCTTGAATAGGGAACCGAACAATGACATAAACATAAAAACTCGGAGGTCCGCGCGGATTTCTCGGATCGGCGCTGGACCCCCCTCCCTGGCGCGCGGAGCGCGCCAGGGGCGGCGCCGGAGGCGCCGCCGGGGGGCCCAGCGCCGATCCGAGAAATCCGCGCGAACCTCTGAGTTTTTATGTTTATGCCACTTTTTGTTCCCCTATTGAAGCTGTGGGTTCATAGCCTCCCACCCTTCTCGAGCGCGCCCCACGCTTGTGCCCTCCAGCGTGGCTCCGCGGGTCCTGGTGGGCCTCCGTGGCCCCAGGCGAAGTCGATGGAAGCCCTGGGCGCCAGATCCCTAACGCCTCGGCCCCCAGAGCGCGCAGCTGATGGACCTCCTCGGGGCTCGAACCCGCCACGTCGCCCACGCGCGTGGCGCTCGGCTTCTGGCCCGCGAAGAGCAAGTCGGCTCTTGGTCCAGCTTCGCCCCTCTGAGTCCAGACATCGGGCATCCTCCTGTGGACCTTCGTCCAGCGACTGTTCCTTCCTGCCGGCGAGGGGGGCTGTGTGGGCGCCTTTCCTGGTGCAGACTCCCCGTTGTGGATCTTGTTTCGGGCGCCGTCGATCACTTGGGGCCCGTCGAGCAGTCCGCCCCCCAGGTTCGCCACCTCCCCCGTGAAAGCGCGGGCGTACTGGCTGGAAACCCACTGTGCCCCGCCCTCAACTTCCCGGGGCCGAACGCGAACGATCGGGGGCCCCAGGCGGTTGGCACGTGCGCTGAACAACTGGCCCGCCAACTTGAGGATGCCGTGTAAACGGCCAGCGACCTATCGGCGGGCTCCGTCCACCTCGGGATCGTCGACGAGGGTCGTGCCGAACCCTGGGCCACGGGCGCCACGCAACCTCTTGTCTCGAATGCTGCCGCACGGATCCCAGCGTCTCTCCCCTGCTCTGGGTGGGGGATGGGGGGGGAGGAAGAGGAGTCGATCATTGGCGCTGCCGACCAGAGATAACTCGAAATTGCGGCGCGCGGGGCGCGGAGCGGGAGACCGCGCACCTGGCGCTCTAGCCGCGAGCCCCGACGGCGCGCGTGCCCGCGGCGCAGGAGGCCGGCCAACCGCGCGCCCGCCCTGCGCCCGCCCGCGCCCGCCAGTGCCCTCCTCGCCGCTTGCCTCCAGGTCCAGTCGGTCGCTTCCCTCCCTGGCGCCGCACAGTGAAAACGTATATGAAGGACGGGCGGTAAGGACGCAAGACCCTTGGAGGCCGAACTCGGGATTTGTTGGGCGGCGGGCGACCCAAACCCCAGTGGAAACGGCAAAGGACGGGCCGCAGAAGCAAGGACTCAAGGGTACCCTAGATGACGGCGCGCGTCCTTACTAGGCGCGTTGACTGTATTGAAAACGCCTCCGCCCCCCAGCTTGGCCTCCCACTCCCTGCAATGTGGCCTGCCGAGATGTCCGAGGGCAGCCCGGAGCAGCTCTCGGCCGAGCCGACGGTGGCGACGCTCCCTCAGTCGGTCGCGACCATATTCGGCTTCAAGGATTCGTAGGAATTCCTAAAGATTCCTAGGAATTCCGAAGGGTTCCTAGGAATTCCCAAGGATTCCTAAGGATTCCTAGGAATTCCTGAGGATTCCTAGGAATTCCTAAGGATTCCTAAGTAGGAGTTCGAAGCCTTCCTAGGAATTCCTAAGGATTCCTAGGAATTCCTACGGATTCCTAGGAATTCCCAATCCTCTCGAGATACTTCTCAATGCGCCCGCGTCGGGCGCCTCGGGGCCCAGCTCCAGTGGCTCTTTCGGGGCCCAGTCCGCCCTCCAGGCGGAGCTCCCTTGATTCTCCGTTGGGGGCCTCGAACCTCGCCGTGGAACTGCTCGTCCGGCCTCCATTCCCCTGAGAGTGCGCTGCAACTCTGGTGTGGGCGCGGGCCCATCAGGCGCCTCCTCCCCCTCCTCCTCCTCCTCCTCTTCCTCCTCCTCCTCTTCCTCCTCCTCCTCCTCCTCCTCCTCCTCCTCCTCCTCGTCCGGAAGCCCCCAGGGGAGAACAGTGAGGACAGTGCCGAGAGCGTGCAGGTGAATCACGAACACGCCTCGAAAAAAAGAACGAGAGAGGGCCCTCATCCAACAAGGGGCGCTCTCCGCGCCGTGCGCGGGGCAGGGGAGCAACGGTGCGAGGGTCACTAACGGCGCAACGCCGGGCAGTCCCCACTCGCACCGCGCCCCCCGCCCGCACCCGCCCACTATTCAGGTGCCTCGGGCTCGGGCGCCTGCTGAGCATCGCAGGCACCCCGAGCTCCGAGAAAACAAGCGGCTCGAGGGGCTCGCCCGCCTTGGGATGCAGGCCCCTTCGAGCCAGCTCGAGCATCGACGCGATGGAGGCCAAGACAGCCCGCTGCACTTAAGGGGCCCTTAAGTGCAGCGGATCTGCTCCTTCCGTGCGCGGGGCTGGGGAGCAACGGTGCGAGGGTCACTAACGGCGCAACGCCGGGCAGTCCCCACTCGCACCGCGCCCCCCGCCAGCACATCCGCCCACTAGTCAGGTGCCTCGGGCTCGGGCGCCTGCTGCGGCATCGCAGGCACCCCGAGCTCCGAGAAGACGAGCGGCTCGAGGGGCTCGCCCGTCTTGGGATGCAGGCCCCTTCGAGCCAGCTCGAGCATCGACGCGATAGCTCCGTCCCCCCCACTCCCAGCTCCCGCCGACCCCGTCCCAGCCCTCTTGCACGCTCGAGACAGGCCGACCGACAGCCGATTGGGGCGCACAGCGTGCGCCCCGCACTTAACACAGATCAAAACTCGATCCAAGGCCTGGACCTGGTGTCCTGGCCCGACCTCCTGGGGGTCGCATGCACGGGAGGCCAGAGACTTCAACGACGAGGCCGTCGCTGCAAGCCTCCAGCAGGCTCGACATCGAATAGCTCCCCCAGCGAAGACCACAAAGTCGTGATCGGTCGGCCGCCGCGGACGGCGGGGCCGAAAGACAGCCTTCGGAGGCGCACGGAGTATCGGGGTGGAGAGGCGGGCCACGCGCTCGGCAGCCCAGGCCAGACAACGCATCGTGTCCTGGGCCCGAAGCAGAGAAAATTTGTGAGCCTTGACCACGGAGGTGGATCCAAGGAAATCAGCCGCTGCCACGCGGGCGAAAACATCAGCCCACATATTACCGAAAAAATGCTCCAGGGGCTCCTGGGAGGCCAGGCAGGCATCAAACCCCTCGAGGACGGTCCGATGGGCCTTCGTCCAAACAAACACGGGCCTGACAGGGTCGCCTCTATACAGCTCGTGGATGCTCCGCCAGATGGACGCGTGAGGCGCTCTGGCAGAAGCATGACGACCCTCCCAGGCCATTCCCTCGACCTGCAGCTGTAAATGATCAGTCACGTACGTGGCTGGCCTCTGGGCCCTCTGCAGGGCCTTGAGACCAGCAACGCGCTCGGCCCTGGGCACCGTCTGGATAGGGCCCCCCAGGCTCCCGAACAAAGCTTTGTATGGCCACAGGTCTCGGGTCAATGCTACGACGGCCCAGCCACAGCGCCGTTCCTCAGGGAAATCACTTTCAAGACAGGACCCGTCCCCGTACAACTTCGACGGCCACGGCATGTCGATCGCCCCCCACTCGCGCTCAGCCTGAGCACGTGCAGGCAGCGGCCTGAAAGCAGGCCTCAGGGGCAGCGCGTAGAGCACGTCGACGGCCGAGAAGTCCTGCACCTGGCCCCCGTCGCGCCACGGGGCTGCCTCCAGGATGTCCTTCCTCCTCTTGGCCACCTCCTCGGGGTACGGCTCCGTCTCCTCGTCCTCCTGCTGCTGATGCAATACCGTGCAGCCGAAGATCTCATGCTCGAGGTCGCAGCAGGCCTCCCCGCAGAACTCGCACGAACCGTCGCCGCCGTAGCCAGCCTGCATGCGGCGCTGCGGCGACCAGAACCCGTTGGACTGCAGCTTGGCCAGAGCCCCTCTGTGGCCAGGCGCCAAGGAGGCGTGTCCCAGTCGAAGCGCACGAAGCCACACATGCTGCTGCCGCCTGCCGTCACCATCGGCTGGGGGCGCCTCAGGCAGCTGGTCGAGGATACGATGGCTCTGCCAACGGTCGAGGCTGCGACGCAGGAAAAACAGCACCTCACTGGGACAATACTGCAGCAAACTGATATGCAGGCCCTCATCGTCAACCAAGATTGTAGAACTTGCCATGTTCCAGTTGACTCTCCTGAGGGACAACCACAAGGCCGAAAGCGGGCCCTGCGCACTGGCCCACGTGACGTGAGTGTGGCGGGCTTCCCAGGAGTCACGCAAGCCCATCCAGGCCCGCTGCAGTCGGGAGAGCGTCACACGCCCATCCCACACCCACGCCGCGTACTGCCCCACGATGCTGAAGGTAGCGTGGAATATGGGGTCGAAGCTCCACTGCTGCGCGGCCAGGTACAGCGTCAGGGAGCCCGACCCTTTGTAGCCACAGAAGACGCCAGCCATGGTCCTCATCTGCTGCAGCTCCGTGTCGCTGATGCCGCTGACCGTGGCTCCGTGCCCCACGGATGGCAGCACACCCGTGGCCCAGAGCCGAGCCGCCCGCTGTCGTCCTGCTCCCTTCTGCAGTGCTCGAACGCTGGCCTTCTTTCCGTGCATGGCCTTCAGGCGTCCCTTCTGCACGGCCCTTGTGGCCGACGACCCAGCTAGGTCGTGGCCAAGATACCGCATGTGCCTCTTGCCAGCGATCTTCAGCAGCCTGGCGTACTTCTGAAAGTGGTAGCTGGTGCGCCTGGACGTCGTAAGGTGCCCAGACTTATCCATCTGCAGCACCAGCCCGAGGGGCCGGACAGCCCTGCAGAAAGCACGAGTGGCAATGGCCATTTCTCGCACCCCGCTCGGGTCGTTGCCGACCCAGCACAGCGCGACGTCGTCCACCAAGTCCTTGGGCTGAACCTGAGGAGCGACCGACATCGTCTGGCGAATGCTGCGAGTCAACAACACCATGAGAAGCGTAGTGGCGTGGGTGCAGCCTGCCAGGATGCCCTGATACGCCCTGCGCGCCACTGAATACGAAGAATACGAGTGCACCGAGCGCAGCTGCTGGTACATCTGCACAAGCATGAACGCCATTCGCATAGGGTATCCACTGGCCCTGCACTCCAACAAAATGGCATCATGCCTGACCAGCTCGTAGCATTTGAGCATGTCCAGCAGCACAATGATGGCGTCGTCATCGCACAGGGTCGCCATCTCCTTGGTGAGCGCCAAATCAAAGGCCGCATCACTCGACGACTTGCCTCCAGTGTGGCCCCAGACCTCTGGTAGCGCATGGGCCTTCTCCCACGCTGCCGAGACAGGCCGCCTCGCCCGTCCCCAGATCCTGACCAGCGTGTTCATCAGCACAATCAGGCGCTCCCCACCCCCTGGCTTGGGGAGTCTCACGAGCTTCGAGAGGAATCTGCCGTCTGGCCACAGCAGGAGGTGCTCGCACCGCTCGAAGAGGCGCGCCATAGCCGTCAGCGCCCCGTGGGAGAGGTGCTCCATGGCCCTGGGCGCGATGTTGATCTGCCCGACGCCTGTCTGCCAAGAGAAACAACGGATTGCCTTGAGTACGTCGGCCGCCTCAAGCCTTGGCAGCTGCTCCCAAGTGTCAGCATCAACAGGTCGGCGAGCCAGCTCACCGCCATGCCGCACCCAGAAGCTTTCCCAATACTCAAGCTTACGATCAGCCAGTACGTACCCATGTTGTAGCCCATTGCCTCCGTCCACGATCTCCTGGAGAGCCTTGGGCTTCATGAATCGGTGAGCTCCCTTGGCTCCAGCCGCAAAAGCTGCCTGCGCCCACTGCCTCCAGCTCTGCATCACGGCCTTCTCATGCTTGGCCTCAGCATCGGAGGAGATACTCAGGATGCGGTCGACCTGCTGCTCGAAGTCTGCCTGCGCTAAGGCAAGTATGCCACGCGAGAAGAAGCCGACGGCTTCGGCGTCCAGGTGCGGCCAGACTCCCTTCCTCCGCCAGATTCTCTGGAAGAAATTCTCGCACTCCAGCAGGTGGCGCGCCGCCTTGGAGTGCACGGCGTCCCACGATAGGTCCTCGCCTGCCCGTCGCGGGGGCTGGTGTCGCTGAGCTCTCGACCGAGGCCGACCACCATCGGAGGAGAGACCAGCCACTCCGACGACCTCCGCAGCAGGGGGTGCCCCATCGCCCAGGCCAGGCACACCGTCGACGTGCGCCTCGCCGACGCTGCCGAGCTCGAAGACCTGCTGCGGGCGTAGCTGGAGCACGAAGCTCTGCAAGGCCACTCGAACCCTCCTGAGGTGACGAGCCCAGCGCGCAGCCTGCGCCCAGGCCTGGGTGTCCGCCGACCTCCTGCTCCAGGCACCTTTCACGACAGGGTGAAAACTCGCCAGCTCGAAGGTCGGGGGGCCTGGCACCGTGGAGTACCCCGCCACGTCCTTCACGACGTCGTAGCGGCCCCGCAGCTCGAACTCGATGCCGCTGAGCACGACGTCCCAGGCCCTGGTGATGCCCTCGCTGTGCGACGCGCTCTGGATGATCGCCAAGGTCGGGTCCCAGTCGGGGGGGAACCTCGCGCACCCCGCCGCAGGCGGCCTCCGAAAGCCGCGTGGCTCGACAAGCCTCCTGACCTTCGCGTCAAAAGCCGTGGCGGAGAGCTCCATGGTCACTGGTAGATGCGGCCACGTCTCCGCGTCGACGACCACTGGTTGCCGAACGCGAGGCAGCAAACGGCAAGAAACCATGAACATGTCAATGGTGCGGCCAGGAAGGCTCTGAAGACAAGTCGGCTCTCTCGGCGCCAGCACCACGCCATTGGCCGACTGGAGCCAGGACAACGGGCCGAGCTCGCCTACCTCCATGTTGAAGTCGCCTCCTACGATCCACGGAACACCCATGGCCTCCAGCGACCTGACATACTGGTACAGCTTGTACAGCATGGCCAGGTTCTCGGGCGACAGCTTGACGTCCACAATGAAATAGCACGACAGCATGACGAAGCCGCCCTTCACCCCAGCGTGGACGTGGGCCGCCATCATCCTGCCTTCCTGCAGCACGTGACTGTCCAGGCCTGGGGGTTTGGTGATGACCACCCGCAGCGGGGCCAGCACCGCAACCCCGCCTCTGCTGCCAACTCCCTGCCCAGGTAGGGCGGGCTCCCATATACCATGGTACCCAGCAGCTCTTACTTTATTCTGCAACTTCGCCAAAGCATCGCCCTCGGCCTTGGCATGATGTTCCTGCACCGCGATGCATAAACTCGAGCACGTGGGCAGGAAGTCGACGAGCGGGCCGCCCGAGGACACGTTCACGGTGGTGATACTTGAAACCGACGCCATGGTGCGACAAAGGAGGACGAACCACACAAGACACGCAAAACATCGCCGTGGAGCCATGCTAGGCAGGGGTGAGCCTGGGCCTCTTGACCTTGGCACCTCAACGCATGAAGATCTCCTCCAGCCTGTGCTTCTCGCCCCCAGCCGCAACGACTTCCTCCATGAACTCAGGGTCGTCGGAGAAGGCAGATGGCTGTGGTGTGCGAGGCGCTGCCGCGTCGTCCTGCCGCTCGGCCTGCTCAACGTCGGGACCAGCCTCGGCCCCAGCATCCGCCTGCGCCTTCTGGGCAGCCAACTTTGCCGCCTCCTCCTCCTGCAACCTCTGCAGCTCCTGGAAGCTCGCCGCGAGGCTGCCCGACAGCTGGTGATCGGCGCCCAGGCTCTGGAGCAAGATCCCGAGGCCCTCGAGCGTGGCACCAACCCCCTTGATCGGCTCGTCGAGCGACGCCTTGTCGCCAGGCGTCGGAACCTGCCCTTGAAGCCTCTTGCGCTCCTGGTCCAGCTCCTCCATGCTAGCGTCGAGGGCCGCCAGCTTGTCCCGAGTGAGCCGTTCCTTCTCCTGCAGGTCGCGCAACTGCGCCTGCAGCCCATCGAGCTTGGTCTGCTGGTCGTCGCGCAGCTTCTGCAGCCTGGTGAACTGAGTTCCCATCTCGCGCAAGCGCTGTCCGAGCGGTCGGGACTCCGCCACCCTAGCCCGCAGCTCGGCCTGCTCGGCCAGCAGCTTGTCGCGCGTGGCCACGACCGACGGCTCGGTGATGCCCTTGAGCTTGCCGATGAGGTCGCCGACCTCGCGTAGCCTGTCCTTGGCGACGGACTCGGGGCCGTCTCCGTCCGCGGCCGGCTCCATCTGCACGTCCTCCCCGCCAGGCGGCGGCCTCTGCACAGCGGCAAGCCGCTTGCGGGCCTCGGCGAGCTCGGACTTGAGCTTGGCCACCTTGACGGAGTCGTCCCAGTAGCCGTTGCCGCTGCCGCCCTGATTGCCCTTCTTCCGCTGGGAGGGGGCCGCGGGCTGGCGCACGCTGTGGAAGACCAGTCCCTTGCCCAGCTTGCACTTCGCACACTGCCGCGCCTCTGCATGATTCCACCACGGTCTCCCCGAGGGCCCGCAGCAGCTCTTGCAGAACCAAGGAAGCGCCTGCTCCGAACGGTAATGCGGCGGTGGCATCTCCACGACCCCAGGCAGCAGCACACACGGTGGGCCGTGGCAGCGCGATCTGGAAAGGACTGGGTGTGGGCGCCCAACTCCCACGGTGAAGGCGAACGGTGGTCTGGCCGCGGACTAGCGGTATCCGTGCGGTCCCCAGGGGAACCAATCATCTTGAGCCAAAATGGCTACGGAGGAGGGGGAGGAGGAGGAGGAGGAGGAGGAGGAGGAGGAGGAGGAGGAGGAGGAGGATGAGGAGTGAGGAGGAGGAGGAGGAGGAGAGGGAGGAGGAGGAGGAGGAGGAGGAGGAGGAGGAGGGGAAGGAGGAGAAGGAGGAGGAGGAGGAGGGAGGCGGAGGCGGAGGCGGAGACGGAGGAGGAGGAGGAGGAGGAGGAGGAGGAGGAGGAGGAGGAGGAGGAGGAGGAGGAGGAGGAGGAGGAGGGGAGAGGAGGAGGAGGAGGAGGAGGAGGGAGGAGGAGGAAGGAGGGGAGGAGGAGGAGGGAAGGAGGGGAGGGGGAGGGGGGGAGGAGGAGGAGGAGGAGGAGGGAGAGGGAGGCAGGAGGAGAGGAGGAGGAGGAGGAGAGGAGGAGGAGGAGGAGGAGGAGGGAGGAGGAGGAGGAGGAGGAGGAGGAGGAGGAGGAGGAGGAGGAGACGACGTAACCAAGAAGGTCCGTCCGACCGCCAACCTCGACCTCGGTCGACGCGAACGCATCGACAGAGGGAGAGCGGGTCCCAGCTGGGTGGCGCTTGGGTTCATTTTCGGCCTCCCGAAGGGCGTCGCAACCCGTTGCCACTTCCGCCACCAGGAGGGCCCGCGCAAAAAATGGCGCTCGCAGCAGACCAGATGTGAGGAGATTCGCCTCGCGAACGAGGGCAAAAAAAAGAGGGTGGAAGGACAGAGCCTGTCATTGCATGACAGGCCCCACCCCCCTAAAGAATGAGCCGAGAGGCGCAGGGCACTGCGGGAGAGTCATCGACCGCAACATGCCAACGCCTCTGGTGCCTCTGTCAATCCCACATCCAACCCATGCCCGACCGCCCCAGCCCCTCCGAGAGATTGAGAGTGCACGCGGCGCTGTGCGAGAGAGCCCTCGATCGCACAGCAAGCTAGGTTATGAATGTGGCCCCCACCCCTGATATTCCCACCGGCCCAACACGAATAAAGAAGAGGGCACGTGCTTATCTTTCGAGTGCCAACTCTGCGGCACCTCGAATGTCGGTGGCCTGCTGCAATGTCATAGTTTGCGCCCTCGGCGCTTTATGGTACATCTGGAAGGCAAGTGCTGTCGCCTTAAGGCACTCGGCTCGACTGAGCTCGGCGCCTTCGATCTGATAATCGCTCTCTTCCCCGAGGCCTAGGAGAGTGAGCGGGCTGGCTGGAAAGTGCCTGCGTGCCCATGCTGGGTGGCAGGCGCAATGGTAATATAATCTTGGGCAGTTCAAATAGTGCGATATCGCATCTGGGGCAGTGCACCCCCAGACGCAGCTGGTTGGGGGGTGCCCGATATGGAGTCTGTGGGTGGTCGTCCACGCGCCACACAGCGTTTTGAAAATGCTCCACTGCCAGGACGGCTTGAGGGTCGCAAGGCAAGTTTTGCATGCAGCCCACCTCCCAACGACCGACCTCAGCCCCCCAGGAATCTCCACTTGCCAAGCGAGCAGCCTCTTGCCAAGAGTGGTGTGAAAGGAATCGGGAAAGGCAAATGGGCGGAGCGTGCGTGCAAATATCCTCTGCGGATGAGGGCGAAGGGCTTCCTGTTCCGCACGTGCGGTGTGCTCGCGCGCTGCTCGAAATGCATCTCGCCACCCAGCAGCATTAGGGAAGCGAGGAGGCGGCAACCTTGAACGTTCTAGAAATTGGGCGATTGAAAATGGTCGCCGCCAGCACGGTGCCGAGAACTTTCCTGCAATAATGCGAACGATGGTAGCATTGTCCTGCGCATGCTGCTTCAGGCTAGACAACGCTCTCTGCCAAACATGATTCAGTGTGCGAAATGATGCACGCCATGCACTAGCCCAGCCAAGCAGCTGGACAGAGGACGGGGCAATGGCTAAAAACGATGGGAGGGCATTCAGATCGGCGAGGCTGAGGCTGTTCGGCGGGAGCCTGAGCAGCTTGTGCAATGCCTGATGCTCTAGCTTACGAATCATGGCGGGGATCGGAAAGAGCTGGGCAAGATACGACAGGGTCGAGAGGGCAGTCGTGTTGTACAACATTGACAGAACAGACGGCGCAGCCCCTGAGTGTGGTAGCGCAACTGTACGCGTCCACCATTTCTCCGCTGCTGGGGACCAAATCATACTGAGAATTGCCTCGGGACCCATTTCGACCCCAAGATAAGTCGTGTGGCCAGCGATTTTAAAGTTGGCCCATTCAGGAATCAACCGACGGAGCTCACTTCGGACCGCGTCCTGGATTTCAGGCGTGCATTCGGTCCAAAGGGGGACCAGGACGCATTTGGCTCCTTGAAGCCTGAGGCACGCAAAACGCTCGACGTCCCGAAAAACTTTGGCCACAGGGACCAGGTCCTGAAGGCGAGGCATCACCATCCCCACGTCGTCCGCACACCCGCCCAAAGAGCCCTTGTGGTGCCTCGCCCTCGGGAGCTGCGTGGCAGCATGAAGGCATCTAAGGATCGGATCCATTGCCAATGCCCATAGCGAGCCAGACAAGGGGCAGCCCTGGAGAACTCCAGAGCAAAGATGAAATAAAAAGACGATCTGATTTTGGATCCGAGCGAAGCCTCTAGGGAGGAAGTAGAGGGCACGAATGAAGTGGAGGAAGCCAGTCGGGAGCCCAGCCCTACTCAGAATCTCGAACAGCCACTGATGGCCGAGGGACGGGAAGGCCGCCTCCACATCGTAGGCGGCGAAGATCGGAAGGTCCTGGGCAGCCTCTGGGTTGATGCTCGCCTTTCGGGCCTCGGCATCCAGCGTGACGATATTCGACAGGAAGTTACGGCCTGGGATGAAACCTTGTTGGGACTCATGGGCGCTCTGTTGGGCAACCTGACGGATCTGAAAGTTAGCAGCAGATGCCATTATCTTTGTGTCCGTGTTCCTGAGGCTAAGAGGACGGACCTTTGCAGGTGACCGTATACATCCTTGGGCATCTTCGGGCTCCGAACCTTTAGGGAGAAACGCGAAGAGGCTGTCGTTGAGCTCCATGGGGACTGCGTGGCCTCCAAACAGATAAGTCATGAGATTGTGTAGCACTGTTAGTTGTTCTGGGCGAGCTTTCCATGCTGTGTACGAAAGCTGGTCGGGTCCAGGGGCCGAACGTCGAGCACATCTGAGAGCACGTCCTAAATCACCTTGTGTTGGAAGTCTAAGAGGTAGAAGGGGACGCGGTGGGGCAACTCGATCAAGATACTCCTGAAGGGGCTCCTCCTGGACTAGTTTCGCACCGAAGATGGGCTTCCAGTGGGAGGTCAGGGCGATGGCGATCTTTTCGGGGTCACGGGCGACTGGTGAGTGCTGAAGGCTCTCGGGTTTTATCCCCGCAAGAACGAGACGACGGGTCTTGGGGGCCCACAATGACGCTCGTCGCTTATGCATCCGTGCCGCTCGTCTCTCATCCTCGATCACCGCTCCGTCCCCCTTGGATGCCCTGCTTTCGGCAAGCCTGGCCTCCCTCATCTGGTAGTCGTAGTTGATGGCACGCATCAAGGCGCCGAACTCCTGCCGCTCGCCGAGCTCGACGCAGCCGTTGGAGACGGTCAGGAAGCGCTCGCCGTCGGCCGTGGTGGCCATCAGCTTGTAGGCGGTGCCAACATCGTTGCGCCAGACACATCGTGAGATAGCTCGGAGCGTGATAAGGCGCCCCCCCTTGGCACGAGGGTCCTTGGCGGAAATCGGCATGCACTGCAACTCATTGCGGACTTGGCGTGCCGCCTCAGACATGAAGTCCTTCATGCATCTCCACTGGTAGACCGCAGGAAATCGATGTAGTTGTGCAGCATCGAGAAGCTGACCGAGAATTTCACCATAGCGCGGATCTCGAAGGACGTGCTCTGGTATGCCTGTCTGTTCACTCTGGCGGGCTCGATCCCTAAGATGCAGGGTGATCGGCGTGTGGTCGCTGAGCCTGGAGTCCGAGATGGCGGCAGCATCAATATCCACCTCCGCGATCACCTCAACGTCGAGCATGTAGTACGCTGGGGTGGCAATGAAGAACCTATCCAGTGTAGCCGCCGTGGACGTATCTCTGCAGTAATGTGTAGGGCAGTCCGTGGAGATCTCCGTAACCATCGCAAAGAGTCTTTCCCAGAACGCTTGCAAAGGTTGAGTGCCCCGAGCCGTCACAGCAGGCAGCGTTCCTGGCGTGAATGTCTGAGAAACAGGATCGGTGTAGCTACGTGTAGGACCTGACTTGACATTGAAATCTCCAGCAGCCACAAACGCTCTAGTAACAGGGTTCTCAATATTCCATTGAACCATGTCCTTCCATGTGTGCGCAATCTTGGTCTGGGCAATGATGTCCAACTCGAAGTTGTGTTCGTTCATGATCTTCATCGTGAAGTTGTCGGCGGCGTTGTGTATTGTGAGAAGGGCCACCCTTCCCGCGCGAGGAGGAGGAGGGAGGAAGGAGGAGTGGAGGAGGCGGAGAGGAGGCAGGAGGAGGAGGAGGAGGAGGAGGAGGAGGAGGAGGAGGAGGGGGGGGGGAGGAGGAGGAGTGAGGGTAGGAGGAGGAGGAGAGGAGGCGGAGGAGGAGGAGGAAGGAGGAGGAGGAGGAGGAGGAGGAGGAGGAGGAGGAGGAGGAGGTGAGGAGGAGGAGGAGGAGGAGGAGGAGGAGGAGGAGGGGGAGGAGGAGGAGGAGGAGGAGGAGGAGGAGGAGGAGGAGGAGGAGGAGGGCTAGCCCTGGGCAGCCTGTGTCACCGACCTCCTGCAGTAAGACCTGGTTCCTTAGGGCTGCTGCGCCCCCGGGAAAAGGGCAGAAACTTCCGCGCGCAACTGGCCGCCTGGCCGACAGCTCGAGACGCGGACTTCAGTGGGCTGCGTTTCGCAAGCAGCAACCTCGCCAAAGAAGCCGACTCGAAGGCAAACGGGGGGGCCTTCCAGGAAGCCCGCGGACGATGTCACACTCAACCCGGAAATCCTTTTAACTCCCTCCAGGCCGTGAAAGCCCATTCCCGGCAAACCCGATGCAGAATCCGATAGAACCTGGAAGACGCTCGCCCGGCATAAGTTGAAGGCCCCCCTCGTCCAGCCTGAGATCCTCCAAAAGTCCTGCAAGAGCCGCATCCAGGTCATCCTGCTGTGGTGTTATGAGGGTCAGGCCCGCGGGGCGAGCGCGGGGGGCCTTTTCGAGCTTGGAAGAGCCTCAGAACATGCGCGGCCCCCGTGCCCTCGGCAAGTCCAACTGGCGCAGGGCGGTGCGGCGGCGCTGCAGCTTCGAGATCTGCGACGCAGATCGCCGCGCCGAAACAGAGCGAATGGCTGCGGGCAAAGTACTCCAGGACAACCGAGCGGTTCGGCTGTGCCAGCGTGAAGTCAGCTGGCAGGGCGATCTGTCCCCCGCGTCTCCCTGGCGCCAGCCCACTAGCTAGGACTGCGAGCTCCACGTTGAAATCGCCGCCTGCAGTGAACGGGGCCCCGATCTCCAGAGCTCTTTCCCCCGGCGCCATCCTCGGCAACTCGCTCTCTGGTCCAAGCCCAGATCGGGAATGCCAATGGTTGCGGAGGAGGCTCGCCAGCCCAAAAGACCGACACCTGGAACAACCATGAAGGGCGCCCCCTGGAGAGACAATTTCGAAGGCGCGGGGGCCCACCCATAAGTTACGATGTTTCCCGCGCGTAATAGCCACCCCAGCGCTCGGGAACCGCTTCTTGGTGACCGGACACGGCGCCGAGCAGTAGGCCGATCCCCGCTTCGACAAGGCGGCCTTGGCCTCGAAGCTTTTGGCCGGAACGATATCGTTCTCCTGGATAGAACAAATGGACGCACTGCGCGATTTTAGGAACTCGGACGCCGTATCCAGCAGGAGCCATTGACCATGCAAATATGGAGCTCTCGCTGCTTGGCTCTGTTAGTTACCTGGGGCCGCTGGGTCTGATGCAGCTTCTGCAGACACTTTGGCACGCGCGAAACATTCTCCTAAGTCTTCCAGGGGGGGGCGCGCCCGAGACCGCAACCTCTCCCGAGAGAGCGGCCGCGGCTTGGTGCTATGAGGCGCCCCGCCCCCCCCCAGGATCCGAACGAAAACGGGGCCGCTGGCCCCGCCCCCCCGACGGCTCCGCGGCCGCGGGCCCCGAGGGCGTCTGGCCGACCGCCGCGGAGTCCACCGGCAGCTCTGCTTTACCAGCCTGGAACATATCCCCATCCCTATGCTGGGCATCTCCTCATCACGATGCCAATCTTAGGGATTCCCTTATTTTTGGAGGGCGAACCCCTGAGATTGTCATCGCCGTTTGGCGTGTCAATCTTGGGGATAGGGATATGTTCGAGGCTGGTAACTGCTGCCCCTCCCGACGGGGCGGCCGCCGCAGCAGCCTGCCCGCGCTGCTGCTCCCGGCCCCCCGACGCTGGCAGGGCGGCTGGCCGGGCCTCCGGCGCGCCTCCCCGACAGGGGCGGCTGCCACGGCAGGGACGGCCCGGCTGGCTGCCAGCGCTGCTGCGTGAGCCTGGCCTGCCATGGCCAGGTTTGGATCTCCTGCCGTCGCCGACCCCCATTGAAGGGGCCCTGGGACACACAAATACATACACACAAATCAAAAGATTCCCCATAGTTTCCCATATTTGCTGGGTTTTTGTCTTCCCCCCCACTTCCCATATTTTCCCATATTTTCCTGGGAATCGACGATTCATTGTGTCTGTGTGTCTTTTTCCCTCCTGACCCATGCGCTCGAGTGCCGGCTCGAGGCTGCGAAAGTGTGCTGCAGCTGCAGGGGGCGGGGAATGGTGGCTGCTGAGGCTGCTGCTGCTTCATCGGCCCTGTCTGCTCAGCCTGGGGTGACTGCGCGATCTGCGCTGGTGGTCTCCTCCTCCTCAACTGAGATCTTTACTTCTACCTGTGATACTGCGGTACGTGCTGCTTTCAGTTCCTCATGGAGATTGACAACATTATTTCCCTTGAACATGTCTTGCATATTTCCTTTCAGGCGCTGTGTTGGCTTGGGTCAGCTGCGACGGGGTCTTCTGAGCATCTCTCTGGGTGCGCATCCTGATCAACGCGCCCTTGAGGGGTTCGAGGAGCTGCCTTTGCATGCTGTCTGGAAAGCTCAAATTACCCATCTGGTCCACAGCCGTCTGTAGCACATGGATGGTGGGGCCTAGCTGCGGAGCATTCGTGACGCCATCTTTAACAGTGAGAGCGGGGCCTGTGACACCATCTGGTGGAGTCGCCTCTGCTTCATGATTATCCTTACACCATGGTAAATTAGGTGGGGCGCTTTCGGTGCTGGTGCCTGGTGACTGTCAATGACGACCACACTGCCAAGGCCACTCGAGCTTCAAGGAAACCTGAGCCTTACACGCCTTACAATTCCACGAGTGGGCCAGGGGGATATCATGTTTCTCCTGGCCTTTGCTGTCCTTGCATTTCGCTTTCACACCTCTCCCATCTTGTCACTACCATGGGCGTCCGAAAAAACGGAGGAGAACTCTGGCAAGGCCTCTCTTCGCACGCAGCCTTCGATGCCACGCATACTCAGCACCCTGACGGCCTGGCAACACTCGTACACGTCCTCCACGACTCGCTTCCGTGGGCGCAGCGGGGGGCAGCGCTGTGGTCACTTCGCGCTGCGCGGGAGACATGGGGGCACGGATGGCATCCTGCGCTTCTGGCGCGGCCACGCGCGAGTCCAGGACAGGACGGGTCGGCCTGAGGCCTGATCGCAGGGCCGATCATCGGGCGGCAGGCGCCGATCGGACCCCGACCGACGATCGATCTGGCCGCCCCCCGAAAGCCCAGATGGGCTTTCTCGTACGGTATGCCTGCTTGCTGCCAAATTGCTCCCCATGTGGTCGGCCTGTGATCTCTCACAGGCTACGCGGGCCAAGAAGGTGGAGCCTCACTCGCCCGTCCCTAATACGCGCCACACTGGAAGATGGACGCAGACCTGCTGGCAGTGCAGGCTATGCTTGCGAGTGGCTCATACGATCTGGCCCTCATAAAGTGCTGTCCGAAGGCCCACAAGCTCTATGATACTACTTTTTTGGAGCTTAGCCATCAATGCGTTACTCTGTCCTGCTCTGACGGAGGTGTCGCTTGTATTTGACTGACGTGTAAGGCTTACTCATCTGGTGTATGTGTGCGGTATATTGGCCAGACGTGTAGGCGTACCCCGCTCCCGGGTGGAGTCGCCCCCGCCTCTGACAACGATGGCGGTTTGACAGCGCCGTGCTTGACGATAGCCTGGTCGGCAAGCAGGAATACCACGGATGCGCGTTAGAGCAATGCAGCGGGAACGACCCTCCACCCTCCTCCTCCGGCACCTCTCCATGCTTCTCCTATGTTTCGTCGTCCCGCTCCTCCAGTTCCTCCTCATCCTTTTGCTGCTCCTGCTCTTCCCCTGCGTTCTCGTTATCGCCCTGCTGTTCCTCCTGCTGCTGCTCCTCCTCCCCCGCCCCACTCCCCTCGGCATCTTTCTGCTGCAACCACTCCTCCCGCTCCTGAGCCTCCTCCTCCTCCTCCTCCTCCTCCTCCTCCTCAGCCCCCCCTTCCACTTTCACGCCTGGCCCCCGTCGCCCGTCCTCCTTTCTCACGCCCTCCCGCACGCTGCCCCCTGCTCCCGCTCCTCCCCCGTCGTCGGCCCTCCGTCTCCTCCTCCTCCTCCTCCTCCTCCTCCGCCTCCTTCTCTTCTTGTTGCCCTCCTATCTCTCCTTCTCCTTCCTCCTCCTCCTCCTCCTCCTCCCTCCCTCCCTCCCTCCCTCCCTTACTCTCTCGTCTCCACATTCTCCTTCCTCGTCTCCCTCCCCATCCTCCCCATCCCCCCGCCACTCCACACTTACTTGGCATGAACACCACCACTCCTGTCTCCCCAGAGTCTGTGCGAACGGAGCACCCCTCGTGGCCCGACGACGACGACGACGAAGACGACAACACTTACGCCGACGACGACGACGTCTCGGGGCCTCCGCGGCGGCGCCGCCGAGGCGCGATTCGGAACCCGCCTCGCCGCTGGCGGGCGGCGGACAGCTCGGGCGGGGCTTCAACTCGGCCGGGGGGGGGGGCAGGCGAAGAGGCGAGGAGGCACGAGGGAATGAGAAGGGAAGGAGGAATGACTGGAGGGAGGAGGGAGGGAGGGAGGGAGGGAGGGAGTGGGGGAGGGAGGGAGGGAAGGAGGGAGGAAAAGAGGAGGAGGAGGAGGAGAGGAGGAGGAGGAGGAGGAAGGAGACGATGAGGATGGAAAACGATGATGATGATGCTGATGCTGATGTGAATGATGATGCTGCTGCTGCTGTGGATGATGATTGATAATCAGGAGGAGGAGGAGGAGGAGGAGGAGGAGGAGGAGAGGAGAGGGATGAGGCGGAAGAGGAGGCTGGGAAGGAGGGGAGATGGAGGAGGAGAAGAGAGAGGTAATGCGATTGAGGGGGGGAAGCGAGAGAGGAAACGCGGGAGGATGATGAGGGAGGAGGAGGAAGAGGGCGGGAGGACGAACAAAAAGGCGGGAGGAAGACGGAGGGAAAAGCGAGGAGGACACGAGGAGGGAGGGAGAGAGGGACAAGGGAGGAGGGAGCTGAAATTGGAAGGAGGGGGGGAGGAAGGGAGGAGGAGAGGAGGAGGGAGAGGAGGAGGAGGGAAGAGGCGGAGGGAGGAGGAGGACGGAAGAGGAGGAGGGAGGCAGAGAAGGGAGGAGGAGGAGGGGAGGCGTAGACGGAGGTGGAGGATGGAGGAGGAGGAGGAGAGGAGGAGGAGAAGGAGGAGGAGGAGGAAGGAGGAGGAGGAGGAGGAGAGGTAGGAGAGGAGGAGGAGGAGCGGCAGGAGCGGAGGAGGATAATACAGAGGAGAAGGAGAGGGAGGAGGGGAAAAAAAGCCGAGGAGGAGGAGGGAGGCACGGAGATAGAAGAGGGTATGAGGGAGGAGGGGGGAAGGAGGAAGGGAAGGATGAGGAGAAGGAGGGGAAGGAGGAGGAGGAGAAAGGAGGAGGAGGCGGAGGAGGAGGATGAGGAGGGATGAGGAGGAGAAGGAGAAGGAGGAGGAGGGAAGAGGAGGAGGATGAGTACAGTAGAAGGTGAAGGTGGAGCGGAGGAGGAGGATTAGGCGGAGGGCCGGAGGCGAGAGGAGATAGGCGGATGAGGAGGAGTAGGAGGAGATGGAGGAGGAGCAGGAGGAGGTGGAGGAGGAGGGGAAAGAGGTTGAGGAGGAGGAAGAGGTGGAGAGGGAGGAGGAGGAGGAGGAGGAGGAGGAGGAGGAGGAGGAGGAGGAGGAGGAGGAGGAGCAGGAGGAGGAGCAGGAGGGAGGAGGGAAACGTAGAGCCTTCGGTCCTCCAGCCTTCTTTTCCTCCCTCCTCCGGTTTCTCTCCTGCTCCTGCTCTCGGAGAAGGGAGGAGGTACTCGGCCCCGTTCGCTTGGAGAGGTTTGTCATCTCGGGCCGTGTTTGAGGCCCCAAAACAGAAAACGGTCATACAACTCGGGTCCCTATTTCCTCAACTCGGCTTGCCTAAAGAGAGCTCTGCTTGGTTAAAAAGGTTGGTGCCTCGTATTCTTACGTTGCCCGTTGCCCGGAGGTACCTCGGGTTCCTCGGGTTCCCCGCCCCCAGTGCCTCCTGTTGTTACGTTGCCCGTTGCCCGGAGGTTCCTCGGATTCCCCGCATTCCCCAGGTTTCTCGGGTTCCCAGGGTCCCCCGGGCTCCACAATGCCAAGCAAAGCCAAGCAATGCCAAGCATTGCGCCCCTGCAAGAGGAAGCGTTCCCCTCATTGGGGTCGCGCCGGGCTCATGCTTCACACCCAGGAGGAGCCCGGGATCCCCAGTCCTACGTAGATCCCCAGTCCCAGATATTTCAGCCCGCCGACCACAGAAGTCTCGACCCCTTCCGCGGCGGCGAACTATGTCCGCCCCAAGTCCCTTTTGGGCTGCCCCGGGCCCACGACCTGCACATGGAGGCCGAAATGGAGGTGGCGTCTCCCCCTCGTGGTCCTCCTCTTCCTCCTGCTCCTGCTCCTGCTCCTGCTCCTGCTCCTGCTCCTGCTCCTGCTCCTCCTCCTCCTCCTCCTTCTCCTCCTCCTCCTTCTCCTCCTCCTCCTTCTCCTCCTCCTCCTCGTCCCATCCCGATCCTTCTCCTCCTCACCCATTCCCAATGCTCCTCCTCCTCCTCCTCCTCGTCCTTCTCCACCTCCTCCTCTTGCTCCTCCTCTTCCTCCTCTTCCTCCTCCTCCTCCTCCTCTTGCTCCTCGTCCTCCTCCACGATTCTCCCCTCTCCGCTCCTCCTCACCGTCCTCGTCCTAGTCCTCCTCCTCCCGCAAAATGTTTCCCCCCCCCCAGATTTGTCCAGGGGTGCGCCCCAGCCACACACGTCGGGTGAGTTTAGCCGCGGCCTCGTCCTCGGACCTCGACCTTCCCTTGAGCCTCGAGCCACCTCGACCCCGACCTCCGATTACTGTCGAACCTCGACAGGCACCGGCGCGGACGGCCGAGCTGGCGACCTGCTCTGGCTGGCGGAGCAGCACGATGAGGGGGACGAGGTGGATGGGGGGACTAGGAACGGAGATGACGACGAGGCAGACAAGGATGAGGAGGAGGAGGAGGAGGAGGAGGAGGAGGAGGAGGAGGAAGACAAGGAGGAGGAGGATGAGGAGGATGAGGAGGAGGAGGAGCAGGATGAGGAGGAGGACGAGGAGGAGGAGGAGGAGGAGGAGGAGGAGGAGGAGGAGGAGGAGGAGGAGGAGGAGGAGGACGATCAGGGTCAGGACGAGGAAGACGAGAAGGTGGTGAAGCGATGATGCTGATGCTGCTGATGATGCTGCTGATGATGCTGCTGATGACGATGACGGTGTTGATGATTACTATGACGATGACGATGACGATGATGCTGATGTTGATGCTGATGATGAGGATGATGATGATGATGAGGATGATGATGATGATGAGGATGAGGATGATGATGATGATGATGATGATGATGATGATGATGATGGTGATGATGACGACGATGCTGATGCTGATGATGATGATGCTGCTGCTGCTGCTGATGAATATGATGCCGATGATGATGCTGGTGATGCTGATAATGACAATCATGATGCTGCTGATGATGATGATGATGATGATGATGAGGAGGAGGAGGAGGAGGAGGAGGAGGAGGAGGGTGAGGAGTAGGAGGAGGACAACGAGGAGGTGGAGGTTGAGGAGGAGGACGGCGCGGACGAGGACGAGGACGACGGGGTGGTGGAGCACGAGGTGGTGGAGGACGGGGATCAGGAGGAGGAGATGGAGGAGGTGGAGGCGAGGCTCGGGATGGCCTGCTCGGGCTGCTGCGGGGGCGCCAGGGAGCAGGCGCCCAGGAGCCACTCGGCGCTCGCGCACGTGGGCGGCGCGGCGGGCGCGGGGGGCGCTTGCGCCGCCTCGCGCTGGGCCTGCGGATGGGGGGCTCCTTCTCCTTGCCCTCCTCGCGTCGTCCTGCTCCTCCTTGTCCTCCCCGTGCTCGTGCTCCCTGCCCCCGTCCTCGTCCTCCTCGCCCTCCTCGTCCCTGTGTTCGTCCTCCTTGTCCTCCCCTGCTCGTCCTCTTCGTCGTCCTCCTCGTCGTCCTCCTCTTCGTCCTCCTCGTCGTCATCCTCGTCCTCCCTCCCTCCTTCCTCCTGCCTCCTCCGTTCCTCCCCGAGGAGAAGAAGCGGCACGGCGGACGCCAACGCGGCCCCTCGCACAGGGGGGGGGGGGGCACCCCGGTTTCGGCATCTGGGGGCCTCCTCCTCGTGCTCCTCGTCGTTGTGCTCTCTCACACACACATACACCCGCAGCGAACCCCGAGTCACCGAACAGGCCGTTGAAACAGTGTGTCACAAGACACAAACAAAGAAGCCGCACGCGCTCGAACAGTAAGGGATGAGACGAGAGTGAGAAGAGAGGGATCTATAAGAAACAAGCAACATATACAGAGAAGGGACAGTACGGCCCAGCCCAGCTCCTGCTTTGTCGTCGTCCTCCTCTTCCTCCTCCTCCTCCTCCTCCTCGTCTTTGTCCTCCGTCCCCAGCCCCCCCCCCGGCGGATCGCGCTGGCCTGCTCCTGTCGCGTACTCCTTATCATGTACCACTTGAGCCACGACCTCGGAGTTCGCCCCGCGCAGCCTCCTCCTCCTCGTGCCCTCCTCCTCGTCCTCCTCCTCCTCCTCCTCCTCGGCCTCCAGTGAAGGGGGGCTCCTCCTCCTCGTCCTCCTCGTTTTTGTCCTCTTCCCTCGCCTGCGGGGAAGGGTTTCCTCCCCTCACACGTTGCCCAGAGGGAGCTCCACCGAAAGTTTCAGTGACGACGGCACATCCCTCAAACGTTTCGCGGCAACAAAAGGAATTCCACCTCAGGCCCCAGTGGCGACGTTCGCATGCGTCCCCTCCGCCCATTGCGGCACAGCCCTCACACGCTTCGTGGCAACATCGGGGATTCCACCTAATTGAAGCCCCAGTGGCGACGTTCGCACGCGTCCCCCCCGCCAAACCCTTGCACGTTTCGTGGCCCAATAGGGAGCTCCACCTAAGGCCCAAATGGCCGCGCCCGCGTGGCATCGCCGCACCTGTTTCGGCGCACCTGTCATACGTTTCGTGATATGGCGACCTCCACCGAATGCCCCAATGGCACACTTCGCATGCCCCCCACCACCACTACTGCGGCACGCCCCTCGCGCACTTCGTGGCGCCATAGGGAACTCCACCGAAGACAATCACCGCGGTACCCGCAACCGCAGACGGTTGGATCCTTCGCCAGGATAAGCTGTTTTCCCCGAGATGGCTGGTCTCGACTGGGTTTGACGTGCGCCCGCCGCGGCGCGCGCACGTAGCCCGTCACGTTTTGTTGTGCAAAGGTTCTTGCCAAAGCGCTTGTTAGATCAACATGTGTGCACCGCATGGTATGATTTGATAAAGAGCGACGATACGAAGACTCCCCTAGCATGGTACCGCTCGAACACGACCGTGCATACAACATATCAAACCGCCGACAATTCTAGCCTCTTGAGGGGGGTCGGCTCCAATTCTCGTTCGGCAGGAGAAAGGGCCACGCCATTCTGGGGACTGCAATGATCAATCGCCTAGGCCCAGAAGCCTAACCCAGGATCCAGGCTTCTACCTGCACCCCTAAACAGTTCGCGGGCGGAGGTGCCCCGAATGCACGATTTAACCTCGTTCGGGAACCTGGCGCGCCCCCAAAACGAGAGAGGACCCGTTCCTGCCCCCTTGGGCGCGGGTTCAGCAGTTGGAGAGTATGCGCTCGGCTTTTCCCTGGCCTCAAGCGAGGCCACAACAATATCCACAACAGATCTTCGCCGCGACACGGCAAGGTCCGAAAACCTGCTCGACGCCCAGGCTTGATCAGTTCCGCGCACAGGCAGCTTGCTCCAAGGCTTGGCATCTAGATCTAGGTGCTCTGCATCCAACTTTTCTCATGCAGCACTGTCGTTGGTGACGTTTTTGCCCTTCGTCTGACGTGAGCGACACCCCTGCACCCGAAACAATGCAGCTTAAATAAATATCCGCCACCGTGCCTCGAGGCACGTAGTGGAGTGCTCCCAGGCTCATGCAGCCCTGAGAGGTAAAAGAGTTTGTACGGTCCTTGACGGCCCAGCCCCCCGGTTTCCCAAGCGCTCTCGGGCACTCTCTCTCTCGAACGCTCTTGGGCGCTTCCGTTTGGAGTCCCGAAACGGTGCGGGGACGGACCGTGCGGTGACCTCGAAATCCCCCCAGACCTCACCGCACGGTCCGTCACCGCACGGTTTTGGGACCCCAGAGGCCCCTGCCGCTCGAGACGTCCTCGGAGAGGGGCTCGAGTCCCAAAACCGCGCAGTGACCCCGAATCCCCACCGGCTCACCGCACGGTGTGGTCACCGCCCCGTTTCGGGGCCCCCGATGATTCCGGGGTGCTCTGCGTGGGCCACCGGGAGGGTCCACTCGCTTAGGAGGGCCCCCCAGCGGGCTTACAATGGCGCCGTGGTGCCGCCCAGACGGTCCAAGAGGGCCCAGAATCGCCGAAAGATCGCTCCAAGACGTCCAGGATGGACACAGGACGGCCAGAGATGCCCCCAAGACGCCCAAGAAGTTTCCAAGATGCCAGAGTCATTGTTTGACGGATTTCAGCGTTCTCACCTTTTCTGGCTTTCGACGCTCCAAGATGGCCCAAGAGGCCCCCAATGTAACGCCCAAACAGCCCAAGAGGCCCCCTAAGAGCGCCCCCAGACGGCCCAAGATGTCATCAAGATGGCCCCTAGACGGCCCAAGAGGCTCCAAAGACGGCCCAATAGGGCCCGAAGAGGGGACCAAGAGAGGCCCCAGAGGGGGAGCACCAAACGACATTTCGAGCCCTTCGCCTCAAGATAGCCCCCGAGACCGCCAGCAGGCCCTCAAAAGGCCCCCACAAGCTGCAGGAGGCCCCCGAGATGCCCAAATCAAGCCCAAAAGGGCTCCCAAGAGACCCCCAAGACACTCCGAGACCGAGTCAGAGGAGCTTCCGGGAGGCCTACCAAGAGATCCCCACACCTACAACCCAGGCGCGGATGCGGGATGGGCCGACTTGCTCGACTTCCATGTGCTTGCAAGAACAAGACAGTGGCGCAAAAACGCGCGACCCCGGAGTTACGTAAACGTGAGGGAGACCCCGTCTCTCTCTCTCTCTCTTTCTTTTTTTTTGTTCTCTCTCTCTCTCTCTCGGAGGAGGAGGGAGGAGGAGGAGAAGGAGGAGGACGAGGGAGGAGGAGGAGGAGGAGGAAGAGGAGGAGGAGGAGGAGGAGAAGGAGAGTACGGGGTTTGGGCTGCTTTAGGTCACCTTGTTCTGCTGGACACCCCCAGAGTCCTCTGGACACAGGCATGAGGCTTCGCATGCCACTTCTGCATCATACAGCGGCAGGATGCGTAAACATAAGCTTGCGCTTGAGAACACGGCCGTCCTCCCGTGCTCCCGGCCGCCATGAAAACGCCATCTCCGCATGCTTCGTACGAGCTACGTGCGAGACGCCCGATGTCACTCCCTTCTTGTCGACGGCGAGCCCCCGGGAGAGGCGAGAAGGGGCGGGCCGTCCCAGAAGGCTCGGACATCCTCCCGCCTTCTGAACAGCTTTCTAAGCCTTAGGGCACCAAAAACTCCCCGAAAGGCCGGAGGGCTTGTGAGAAGCCCCGCCGCTATCTGAGAAGGCCTCCTCCTTCTCACTCCCCCCCTCGCTCGTCGCCGGTCTTCGTCCACCTGTCTTGGGGCTCGCCATCTTCATCGCGATGCTGGACGTGGCCGTGGCGCAGGAGTGCGAGGTGGCCCGAGGAGGAGCACCCAAGGCCCGTGCCCTTGAGGTCCTCCCCTGGCGGAGCAATACCGATGCATGACCCGGAGCCCCAAAGTCCTCCTCCGCATCCTCCTCCTTCTGCAGCATGATCTGCACGAGGCGGCCGAAGGCCGCTGGCGGTGCGTTCAGTGTCTGCATGGCTGTCTGAGCTGGAAGGCTGGGGTGGCCTCCGAGTGTGGGCGCATGGCGCCCAAGTGCTGGGGTGGCCTGCGATAACTCGCAGACGCGCGCGTCTTGTGGGGTGCGGTGATCGAGGTGATCGGCCCCAAGCAAGCACCGTCAGAGCGGGGTGACTTCTTGATGTGCTGTGTGCACTGTGCACAGGGCGCTCAGCTGCAACCACGCCGCTGCTGGCACACGCGTGCTCAGCCCAGCGTCGCGTGCTTGTGCTGGACAAGATGGGTAACGAAAGGCGTGGCCTTTTCGAGTGTGGCCTCCACCCTCGCACGGGTTGGGAACATATACAGTCATCGGCCTGACCTAAGGAACGATAAATAAGGAACGAAGCCCCTTTCTTATCCCAAGGAATAACGCATAAGGAACGATAAGTAAGAAATAACGCATAAGGAGCTGTAAATAACGCATGTAAACCTAAGGAACGACCGAGCCCCTTTTGAAAAGTAAGTGTTCCTTAGTCAAGCCGCTCACTGTACTCTTCGAGAGTTGGGCTGTCGGCAGCTTGGGCTTCCTCGCTCACGAGAGTGGGAACACTGCGTAGTGCACCTCTGCAGCTGGCACGTTCGGCGTCCGCAGGCGGGGCACAACATCCCTCCTGCTTCCCTCCTTCTCCCCCCACGTCGTCGTCCTCCTCCTCCTCCTCCTCCTCCTCCTCCTCCTCCTTCCTCCTACTCCTCCTTCCTCCTCCTCCTCCTCTCCACCTCCCTCCTCCTCCTCCTACCTCCTCCTCCTCCTCCTCCTCCTCCTCCTCCTCCTCCTCCTCTCCTCGTCCCAGGCTGATGGGGCCCGTCCCCTGCAGGCGCGCGGCTGGCTGAGCGGGCCGCCAACTGTAGTCCACGACCGCGTCGACGGAGGCGCTGCGGCGGCTCGCCTCCCCGTGGCATCGCGCCCCTTCCAGCTTCGGACCCTGCAGTCGAGCTGCTGCCGCGCAGAAGACACGTACGATAACAGCTCTGCCTGACATCCAGGGCTATGTTGCTCCCATCGTATTTAAGGACCACATCCCAGCAATAATTTCGGGCACCCAGAGAAAAGTGTCGAAACAGTGTCACACGAGTATCGCCTCCCAGGGCCCGACACGTGAAAGCCCCTCCAACGTCGTTACTTTCCTGGTGCTCGAAATTCTTTCCGGTGATCAAGGCCGAAGCAAGCTGGAGCATCATAAACCCAGGGGCCGATCCTTCCTCAAGTCCGAGCTTCACAAGGTGCTCAAGGGCTCTGCGAACCGATCGGGGAACAGGACACCCATAAGGGGCGCGCGCTGCAAGGCAGACTGCTCCTGTGCCGTTCCTTCCTGCAAGGAGCGCCACATGGAAGACAGAGCCTCTCTGAGGAAGAGGAGCGCTCGAGGAAGAAGCCGTGCAAGGAAACAAAGATCAGCGAGCACATCCGATCGAAAGCTTGCCTTTACTTCAGCGTCTTGACCCTATCCCAGCATGCATGTTAAGCATGTCCGCAGCCAAGTGAGCCCCAGCGGAGGTGTCCGATACCCCAGCGCTGGTCGGGCCCATAGGGGGTTGCCAATGATCATTGTTTTCTTTTCCCCTGCTCCACGATATTTCGCGAACAGCAGCTGACAGCGCCACCCACGATGCATCTAATTGCCGGCCCGGCTGTCCCAAGCAGCGTCGCTCCGTAGATCCCTACCATTAGGCTGAGGATGCGCCTCTGGAGTGTGCCCTGCCTACCACACCGACTCCACCAGGCGGCGGGTGTGCGAAGTTCTGCCCTCGACCATCCAGGATCGAGGGGGGCAATTCAAGGAAAGCTGTGGGAAGTTCTTAGAAACGCTTTCGGCACTTTGCTGGCCTCTGGGAACCTCCGCCAGAGGTCCGTACCCCTGGATGTACCCGGATGGACATTTGGAGTTCAGAACCCGAGGTGGACGTACACTTTAGCACTTCGCACCAGGAAGGGAGTGGCGGAGGGGGGGTCGTCACGAGGGAGATGAGGACGAGAAGCAGGATGGATGAGAACAGAGGGGGAGAGAAGTCAGGAAGGATGGATTGAGCTCGTTTCTCATCGCAGCGCGACATCGCCCTCGCCTTGTCGGTCCCTCGAATGTTCTCCTCTTCAAGTTCCCGCTTCTCGTGGTCATCGTCGTCGTCGTCGTCGTCGTCGTCGTCGTCGTCGTTGTGGTCGTCCTCGTCGTCGTTGTGGTCGTCTTTTTTTCCCTCCAGGCAGCGGCGCTGTTCCCCGGGCAGGCTCTCTCTCAGCAGCCGCGGAGGGCCGAGATCAGGCCGAGAGCCCACGGCAGGACCTGGCGCCAGCACCTCAGGAGGGAGTGGAGGGCGCCAGTCCTCCTCCTCGATCTGCTCGTCGTCCTCCTTTTCTGCCTTCTGATCTTCCTCGTCCCTCGCCCTCTCCTGCTCCTCCTTCTCCTCCTCGCCATTCTTCGCGCACGATTTCTCCCATGGCCCGCTTTCCGTCGCTTGCTCCTCCTCATCCTTGCCCTCGTAGTCCTCCACTTCCTCCTCCACCTTCCTTTCGTTTCCTCCTCCTGCTGCTCGTGCTCGCTCCCGTCCTCTTCTGAGCCTTCCTCCCCCAGAAACCTGCAGAAAACTTGAAGAAACTTGCGGAAACCTTCGGGGGCCTCCCACAAGCCTCCCGGAGTAAACCTTCGGGAAGAGCGCCCGAGATCGCCCGAAGACCTCCGGAAGCCATCCCGAGTCGTTGTTCGACGCTCCCGAGGCCCGGTGAGGGCCCCCAAAAGGCCAAACCTCGCGAAAAACCTCCCGTCGTGATCTGTTCACGACGCGAGGGGGTCTGGGGTGGCACGAATAGGGGAACAAAAAGTGGCATAAACATAAAAACTCGGAGGTCCGCGCGGATTTCTCGGATCCGCGCTGGGGCCCCCCTGGCGGCGACTCCGGCGCCGCCCCTGGCGCGCTGCGCGCGCCAGGGAGGGGGGTCCAGCGCCGATCCGAGAAATCCGCACGGACCTCCGAGTTTTTATGTTTATGTCATTCTTCCCAGACCCCCGACGTAATGTTTTTTTCGTTACGTCGACCCCCAGAAGTCCCGACCCTTTCCCATGACCGGCTTTGCATCCTGAGTCGTTTTTTGTCGCTCCCGAGGCCCGGTGAGGGCCCCCGGAGGCCGAAAATTAGGAAAAACCTCCCGTCATGATTTTTTCATTGCTCGAGGGTGTCTGGGTTCGTTCCCCTAACGAAGAAGTCCAGGGCAAATCCTTCCGCGTCCAAGGGGTCTGCGCCAGACTGCCCCCCCTGTGGGCGCCCCCCGGGCGGGCCGCCCCGCGCTGGACGCACCCCCCCGGGGGATCGCGCCGCGGTGCCCAGGCCGCAGGGCCGCGGGGGAGGACGGGGTCGTCGTGCCAGCCCAGACCCCCTCGCGTCGTGGGCAGATCACGACGGGAGGCTTCTCGCGATGCTCGGCCTCAGAGGGGGCCCTCACCGGGCCTCGGGAGCGTCAAAGAACGGCTCGGGACGAAGAGCCGGCCCCGGGGAATGGGTCCAGACCTCTGGGGGTCGCGCGCCACGAAAAAATGACGACGTCGGGGGTCTGGGACCATGATTGAGCAGCGGCCGATCGTCCCGACACTCCTATACAGTGGAGGGCGGTCCACAAGAAACCTTCCGCAAGAACCCCCCCCTGAGACCCCAAGGGCGTCAATTGAGTTTCGATGTGGGAACGCCACGCTTTCCACAGCAAAATCATCGAAACCCAAGAAACCCAGGGCACCCTGGAGGCAAGTAGGGTGTTTCTTGGCATGGGTCTCCACTATAGGCCTACCGCAACATGGTCTTCGATCGAAAGACTGCTCTAACAACAAAGCAGTGTTTTTCGAGCATCAAGCCGACGTATTAAAACAAAGAACGGTCTCAGCCGGACATGCTCTAAGAGCATCTTGTGCAGACGTGCCGACCACACAAGGTTCTTAGCAAGCCAGGACGTCTCGCCACTGCTTAACATAAGGAGCGCATCATCAGGAACGAATGGGCTCTTCTGATCACGGCGGGCATGGGCCACACGTAGGTTCCAAAATATGCATCTGAGGAACAGCCCGAAAACCGACCCAAGCCCCCTCTGAGCCCAAAGCGGTCCTTATGTCAGCGTCTTGACTATACGGCAAGACCTGAGACATAGGAACACCCTTCAAGAGCATGAGACCCTCCGCCGGCCAAACTGAAGAACAGCCAGGGGTACCCTCCCCATGATGCAGGAGCACATACAACAAACACGAAGAGCATGAGGGTACCCTCCCGAGTCGACCTCGATCTTATACCTCGGTCCGACAAGTCTGCTCCCGCCGCTGACGCGGAGGCTCCTTCTGGCAGGGCGTTTTTCGGCCCCCCGCGCGCCACGAGCCCCTGCTCGGCGCCGCCCCGCTCGGCGCGCTCGTCCCCGGCGAGCCGAAGATCGGGGTCTCGCGGCGCTCCTCGAGGGGGGCGGGGGGCGTGGCCGGAGCGGGCGGGGACCACCTGCGCAGAGGGTGCCCTGTGCCCCAACGGGCGCCGAGGTGGCTCCACGTCCTCCGAGAGGCCCTCACGAGGAAAGATCCGCAGAGACCTCCTCATCCTTCTCCTTCTCCTCCTCCTCCACCTCCTCATCCTCCTCGTCGTCGTTCTCCTCCCCCTTCTCCCTCCCTCCTCCTCCTCCTCCTCCTCCTCCTCCTCCTCCTTCTCCTCCTCCTCCTCCTCCTCCTCCTCGTCCTTCTTTTTCTCCTCCTCCTCCTCCTCCTCCTCCTCGTCCTGGCACCGCCACCAGTGCCTGGCCAGGGCCATCCTGGGCCCCGGGCATGGTGCAGTGTGCCCTCAAAGCCAGGCAGGTCTGCACACTACGCTTGGGGCCCAGAGTGGGCCTGGCCAGGCATGGTGCAGTGGTACAGGTACCTGCTGTGGATCTTCCTGTTCCAGCTGCTCCTGCTCCTCTCTCTCTCTGCCTCTCGTCCTCCTCTCTTCCTCCTCTGCTCCACCTCCACCTCCTCTTCCTCCTCCTCTTCCTCCTCCTCCTCCTCCTCCTCCTCCTCCTCCTTCTCTTTCTCTTTCTCCTCTTTGTGCTGCGTGGGGCGAGGGCCCATGCAGGAGGAAACGGAGCAGAAGAACAACGATCAAGTGAGGAGGAGGAATAGGAGGAGGAGGGGCACCTCTACCACGCGCTCATCGTCTCCTCGCTCGCCAAGCAGCTTCTACTGTCATGTAATGTACAAAAGACAAGGTGTCGTGATCTGTGCACCGTGGTGCTGCTGCAGCACGGCCACGGGGTGGCCTCCGCGGGCGCTTCGTGCCGGCAGCAGTGGTGCAGCGGCAGCCCGCCGCGCGGGGCCTAGTCCGTCGCGAATTGAAACATGTGCCGTCACGGCCACGAAGGCCGTGGTCCCAACATTGCTTTGTGGAGGCCATCGCCCTCTTGCTCCGTGGGTGCTTCCGTACAGATACACTGCCAAGTTTATGCTGCTCCCATCGTACTTCAGGACCACATCCCAGAAACAATTTCGAGCACCCGGAAAAAGCGTAGGACAGGTGTCGAACCGGTGTCGACGACACCGTGTCGAACGAGGGTCCCCCAGGGCCCGACACGTGACAACCCTCGAGGTTCAGCTCTCTCCTCTGGTGCTCGAGATTCTTCCTGGGGAACCAGGCCGAAGCAGGTAGGAACATCAGAATGCCAGGGCAGAAGGGAGGAGGGAGGAGGAGGAGGAGGAGGAGGAGGGAGGAGGGAGGAGGAGGAGGAGGGAGGAGGAGGAGGAGGAGGGAGGAGGAGGAGGAGGAGGAGGAGGAGGTGAGGAGGAGGAGGAGGGAGGAGGAGGCGAGGAGGAGGAGGAGAGGAGGAGGAGGAGGAGGAGGAGGAGGAGGAGGAGGAGGAGGAGGAGGAGGAGGAGGAGGAGGAGGAGGAGGCCCGAGGCCGCAAAGCTCGGGCAGCCGAGGGCGCCAGGCCGCGCGCCGCGCCCCAGCTGGCCCCGGCGGCTCCCCGCGGCCCTGCCGCCCACAGGCGCGCTCTTCCCCGCTGTGCTCGTGCGACGCGGGGGTGCTCACCTCCGTGCTACGAGGCTCGGCGGAGGTGCCGCGCCGGCGGCTCTGTGGGCCGCCTCGTCGCCGCCTCGCGCCCCGCCTCCTCGCCGCCCGTCGTCCAGGCCGGCGTGCCGCTCTGGCGGCTAGGTTGCTGTCGCCGCCGCCCCGCCGCCGCCCGTCGCCTGGGCCGGCGTGCCGCTCTGGCGGCGATGCTGCCGCCGTCGCCGACCCGTCGCCTCCCGTGCCTGGACCTGTCTGTCGGTCTGGCGGCGATATTGCCGCCGTCGCCGTCCCGACATCGATTGCACAACAGAGGTAGCACCATCAAATTTTGCTCCGCATTTGTTGTGCCGCTAAGATCGCACCACACATTCTGCACAACATAGATTCTCCTCTCCCAAAACACCGGACCAGACAAGAACGGGAAACGTCCTGTTGTGTCCTGGGCTTATCCTACGTTTAGTATGCGCTGCGCAAATTTGTCGTGGCGTGCGTGCGTTTGCGCGTGCGCGTGCGTCCGTGGAATATGTGCATGTGTGTCCGTGCGTGGTGGTCTGCGGCACTTCTGTGTTATGCCGTGCTGCCCTGCCGTGTTCCTGCGGTCTGCGTGAACGTATGTTGCCTCTCTCTGTGTGTGTGTGTGTGTGTGTGTGTGTGCGTGTGTGTGTGTGTATGTGTGTGTATGTATCTATGTGTGCGTGTGCGTGTGGGTGTGCATATGTGCGTGTGCCTGTGGGTGCGGCTGTGTGAACAAATGCTCTATGTGTTCTGGCATGCTCCTGCGTGCTCTGCCGTGCTCCTGTGTGTTCTGCCGTGCTCCCGTGTATTCTGCCATGGTCCTGCTCTGCCGTGCTCCTATGTGTTCTGCCATGCTCCTGTAATTTGCCGTGCTCCTGTGTGTTCTGCCGAACTGCTGGTTGTTCTGCCGTGCTCCTGTGTGTTTTGTGTGATCTGCCGCGCTCCTGTGTGTTCTGCCATGCTCCTGTGTGTTCTGCCGTGCTCCTATGTACTCTGTGTGCTCGGCCGTGCTCTCGGCCGTGCTCCTGGTGATCCGGCGTGTTCTGCCGTGCTCATGTGAATTCTGCCGTGTTCCTGCATGTTCTGCCGTCAATTCTGCCGCGCATCTATGCGCTCTGCCGTGCTCCTGTGTGTTCTGCCGTGCTCCTGTGTGTTCTGCCGCGTTGCTGGTTGTTCTGCCGTGCTCCTATGTGTTTTGTGTGTTCTGCCGTGCTCCTGCTTGTTTTGCCGTGCTCTGCCGTGCTCCTCCTGTGATCTGCCGTGCTGCTGTGTGCTCTGCCATGCTCCTGTGTGTTCTGCCATGTTCCTGTATGTTCTGTGTTCTGTGTGTTCTGCCGTGCACCTGCGTGTTCTGCCTTGCTCCTGTTTGTTCTGCTGTCCTCCTAGGTATCACGTGTGTTCTGCCATGCTCCTCGTGTTCCTGTGTGGTCTGCCGTGCTCCTGTGTGTTCTGTTGTGCTCCTGTTTGTTCTGCCGTGCTCCCGTGTGTTCTTTGGGTTCTGCAATGCTCCTGTGTGTTCTGCCGTGCTCCTGTGTGTTCTGCAATGCTCCTGCGCGTTCTGCCGTGCTTCTGCGTGTTGGGCTGCCGTGGTCCTTCCCATTTCCTGAAGATGTCCCGAACGAAGAACTCGATTTTAACCCGCACTGTCTTAACTCAACCTTTTCCACAATGCACCTGTGTGCTCCGCCGTGCTCCTGGGTGTGTTGCCGTGCTGCTGTGTGTTCTGCCGCGCTCCTGCTTGTTCTGCCGTGCTCCTATGTGTTTTGTGTGATCTGCCGTGCTCCTGCTTGTTCTGCCGTGCTCTGCCGTGCTCCCCCTGCTCCTGTGTTGAAGTCGAAGTTGAAGTTGAAAAATGAAGACGGGGCCTTACAAGCAAAAGGAAAACACGGACAGGGCCAGACGGGACCCGCGTTCCCGAGAGACGCCGCGTCCAACAAGGCACCGAGGGCGGCGGAAGCCTGCTCCCAAATGGAGCAGCTGGCGCGAGCCACAGCGATGCAATCCTTCACTCACTCACTCACGGTGGGGCCGCCGCGGCGCTCCATGCGGCGGCGCACCCTGCGGCAAACCTGGGCGCCGCCTGCAGGGCCAGCTGCGGCGGAGGGGTCCTCATCGCTGACCCCGCGCGCCCCGAGTCGCCCTGCTCTCGCTGCGGCTGGGCGCCGCAGAGGCAGGCTGGCAGCGGCCGCAGCGGCTGCCGCATTCGCTGGGGCTCCACCAGGGCCCGCGGCCACTTGCGGCACCGCTGCCGCCGCTGGGGCGTTGCCTGTACTGCTCGCAGTGGCCGCAGAGTCTGCAGCTGGCTCCGCTGCAGTGCCAAGCCGCTCCAGGTACCGCTCCTGTGCTTGCTCAGGCACTGGACCTGCGAGCGCAGCGCTGGGATGCCCTCTCCTTTCACTCTGTGCCTGGCAGTCCGCGACCCCTCCTGCCTCCTGCCTCCAGGATGGAGTCCTCGTTGCCACAGGCTGCGCTGGTTCCTGCCGCCCTTGTCGGTCTTGTCACCTGGGCAGCGCTCCTTAAGGCGAGGCCTAACCCCTGAGCGGCCGCCCAGCGTCATGTAGGCGCCGCACTTGGAGCATGCCAGGAGCTCCTGGGTGTCCTCCCCTCCCCCAGCGCAGGCGTAGGACAGGGCATGTCCCAGGATGCTGAAGGCGACTGCACTGGCCGAGAGGGCAGCCGAGCTGCTGCCTGTAGAGCGGCCACTCTCCGAGCGTGGCCGCATCCAGGCTGCAAGGTCCTCGCCGTCCTTGGCTGTCTGCTGCGGGCAGCGGTCGCGCCAGACGGTGCGGTAGACCCTGCCTCCAGGTTGCCGTCGTCGTCGCACTGCGCAAAAGGCCCAGCCCTCACAGCGGAAGGCGCCGAACTGCGGCTCGAGCACCGAGCCATCGAGGTACAGCTTGCCGCTGAGCTTACCAGCTGGCCTGCCGACGCATTGCACCCACATGGCGCCGTTGCGGTGACCCTGCGGTGGCCCTGGTGTGGGCAGCCAGCAGCGGCCGAAGTTGTCGACTGCGCGCCCGCCTAGGGCACGCGCTCGTTCTGCACCCTGCTCCGGCCGTGCCGAAACTCCGTCGCGCCGCTGGGCCTCGAGCACAGGGCAGCCGAACAGGCGGTGCCCCAAGGTGTCTCTCTCTGCTCCGCAGCAGCCGCAGCGCGCATGTCCTTGTTCACATGCCTCGAAGAGCATGGCCTGCGTCCAGTGCGTGTTGGTGATGCAGGCCCCGAGCACGTTCTTTTCCCTCACTCTGGGCCCGCCGTCTAGCCCGAGCTGGCGTCCGATGTCGTCCCAGCGCAGTGGCCGCTGCAGGCGGGCGTCGTGGCTGAGCTTCCGCGTCACGCGACGGGCGGATGCAAAGCGAGCGCCAAGGCCAGCCTCCAAGCCCAGCTCCCGAGACCCGAGGTGCGCGAGGTCGAGCTCATCGCCAGAGCCCGTGACCATGCACCGCTCGGGCTTGAAGTGCCAGCCGATCCGTGCACGGGACAGCGCCACCGCGTCGAAGGGGGGGTGCAGTGCTTCCATGGCGTGTTAGCTCTTGCGCGCCTGGTCGCCGCCGCCTCCAGCCCCCGCTCCATCATCCTGGGCGGCAGTTCGCCTGTCTGCAGCAGCTCCGCCATCATCTGGGCTGCGTGGCCAACCGTGAGGGCTGTAAGATCCAGGTTGCGCCTCCTCCTGAGCTCGGCACAGCGCTTGCACAGCCCTCGCTCCGCGCCCATGGGGAGCGCTCCTGCGCTGCGGCAGGCCGCAAGCCTCCCACTGCGCGGCTCACCGTCCGCGTTGCCCGTGACCGTGCGACCGCGCGCCATGCTGGCCGTGGGCCCAGCCTTGCAGATCGGGTCCAGCCTGCGAGCTCGGCGAAGCGCTCCTGCAGCTCGAACTCGTCCCTCATGCACTTCCTCTCCTCTCATTGGCGGCGTCCGTGCCGATGTTCCTGGCCTGCAGGGTCTTACGGAAGGGCCAGCCTTGCGACTTCCTGCGCACCCCGAGCTGGCGCCCAAGGCTGGGGCACGAAGCGAGGAGGGTCGACTGAGCAGCACTGAGGGGAGGGTGCTGGACACGGAGGCGACGCGCCACTTCCAGCCCAACGCGGCCGAGCCGTGCAGCCACCAGCTGCACCGTGCCCACGGCCTGCATCGCGATGTCGCCGACGACGGTGCGAGTGCCCACCAGCGGCCTGCCGCCCGCTGAGGCGGTGCGGAGGGCTGCCAGCCCTGGCAGCCTGGCCACAAAGGTGGCGCACGCACTCCCCGCCCGAACTGTCCCGTTGGTGCAGAACGACTCGGTGGCCAGGCCCACGACGGAAACGGGCCGCGGTCTCTGGTAGAAAACCAGCAGCGTCACATCGCACCCAACAGTGTCGACACCAGGAAAACGACCAGGACGCACAAGTACCTGCACCATGGCGTCGGGCCTCACGTCCTGCAGCAGCATCCACACAGGCTTGTGCGGGCACAGCCCAAGGCCATCCAGAGCCGAGGCCTCCATGACGCCATGGGCCAGGCAAGAGGAGCCCACGAACCAGTTGTACACATGCTCCGCCCCTTGGGCCACGCATGTGCACTCAGCAGGCCCCAAGTACGTGCCGCGCTGCACACGAGGCCAGCCCAACTCGTGCAGCGTGCCAGGCTCCATGTTGAAGCCGCCCTGCGCGAGCCAGGGCCTGCCCTCGGACAGCACTGGGTCGCCGAAGGCCGCGAAGATGTCGAGGTTGATGCCCTGGGGCCCCAGGGCGTCCTGCAGATACAGCGAGCACGCCAGGACCAGCAGCCCAGACGCCGTGGTGATCGTGACCCCATACAAGCAATGCCTCAAGTCACTCGGCGTCGCCCACACGCTCTCCGCAGCCTGCAGGTCGCTGCGCGCCAGGGTCGCCACGCCCCCTAAGTTCGCCAGCGGGCCCTCCTTGTCCGCGGGCGCTGGCGCGTGGAGGAGAGCCGAAAAGCCCAAGCGCAGCACTGTTCCTCTGGCCTCTTCCAGGCGGTGCGGAGTCAGGCGGGTCTCCTCCAGCCCGCAGCGGTCATCCTGAGCTGCCGTCGCGGCTTGGCCTGGCGCTGGCAAGGAGAAGTCTTAATCAGAGGCGCGAAAGTCACCAAGCGAGGGCTCGATTTTGGAGCATCTTACAGATATGATATTCTCCTCCTCCTCCTCCTCCTCCTCCTCCTCCTCCCTCTTCCTCCATCTCCTCACCTCCCCCCCCTCCTCCTCCTGCTCATCCTCCTCCTCCCTCTCCTCCTCATACTCCTCCTCCTCCCCCCCCTCCTTCTCCTCCTCCCC